CCGAGCATACATATTCATACAAGGATAACAATGATAAAGGTACATACATTCGCAACAGTAATAAGGATACAATAAGTTATTATAGTGCAGGTGACTTTGTCCGTTTAATAAGTTAATAAAAGGGCTTAACCGAATTAGGTGAGAGCAAACTCAATTGAACGTGAGTTGCTATAAGACAATCCATCACCAGTGGTTTTAAAAGATATAGACAGATTCGGAAAATGAAAATTCAATATTAACGTTTAACATGAGTTTTAAGAGAACATATACAATGAATATATATATCTGCGTCAGTGCAACCGATTTTGAAACAAGTCACTCAAATTATTTAACTTGTGATTATGAGTATGAGGCTGGGTACAACCAGATTTGCGTCACCTACTTATATAGTTGGGGATAACTTTTTTATCTTTTTGTGGTAATCAGTGTGTTGTTTTCTGTTCGTTAGGTATGATAGAATCATCGATCAAGTTGCGATGTCATTAGGCTAGAAGGCTAGACATCTCAGTGCACTATAGTCTAACTTGAGTCGGTTAGATGTAATTGATAAGAAGCTACCTATATGTTCTGTTTCGTTCTTAGTTACTTTAACGGTCGCATATTAAAATTTGTTTGATGAAGCTCTGATAATATTCTCACAAGTTAATTAAATGTTAATAATGAAAAGAAACTCCTCCTGGAGTCCTTCCGGGGGCTACTGCCGGTCCCAAGCCCGGATAAAGAAGGAGGGTTGGGCATGGGGTCAGCGACCCCATCCTGTAGAAAACTAACTCGCTAAAAAACGCTAACCAGAAAAATTATTCAAACCATTTAAACTCTGCCCTGGGAGTCAGGAGGTCTTCGTTTAGATGAATGATGACGCCTCATGATGAAAGCCGAGTTCCTTCGGAAGTCACGAGGCCGATGCCCCTTCTAACAACTAGAGCAACCATTTATTTAGGTACATGGAATGCTCATACAATGTAGGAGACTGGGAGAGTTTTCCAAATTGCTGCAGAAATGAGGAGATACAATTTAGAGGTGCTTGGGATCAGTGAAACACATTGGACGCAAGTTGGACAACAACGACTAGCTTCAGGGGAGCTGCTGTTATACTCCAGATATGAATAAGAAAATGCCCCACATGCACAAGGAGTAGCATTGATGCTGTCCAAACAAGCACAAAATGCACTTATAGGATGAGAATCTCATGGACCAAGGATCATCAAAGCCTCCTTCAAAACAAAGAAAGAGGGCATTACAATGAACGTCATCCAATGCTTTGCGCCTACCGACGACTACAATGAAGACGCTAAAGATCAATTCTACGATAGGCTGCAGTCAATCGTCGAGAAGTGCCCAACAAATGACCTGACCATTCTGATGGAAGATTTAAATGCCAAGATTGGAATGGACAACACTGGATATGAAGACATCATGGGACAACACGGACCGGGAGAAATGAACGAAAATGGTCAGAGATTTGCAAACCTATGTGCCTTCAATAAACTGGTCATAGGCGGCACTATATTCCCACATAAACGCATACACAAAACCACATGGACTCCACCGGATCACACTACGCAAAACCAAATCGACCATATCTGCATCAACAAAAAGTTCAGGAGGACGATGGAGGACGTGAGAACCAAGAGAGGAGCTGATATAGCATCAGATCATCACTTACTGGTTGCCAAGATGGAATCGAAACTCAAGAAGCGCTGGACAATGGGGAGGACAATATCACAAAAGTTTGATATAGCTTTTCTTCGGGATACTGACAAAGTCAAAAAATTCAGGATAGCCCTCAGCAATAAGTTCCAAGCCTTTCATGATCTACTCCATGGAGAAGGAACTACTATGGAGAGCAAATTAAAAGGGATAAAAAAGACAATCATCTCAACATATCATGATGTTCTGAGCCAAAAGAAGCACCATCACAAGGATTGGATCACGATTGATACACTGGATAAGATTCAAGAAAGGAGGAACAAGAAGACAGCAATCAATACCAGCCGAACAAGAGCAGAAAAAGCCAAGGCGCAAGCTGAATACACAGAAGTAAACAAGCAAGTGAAGAGGATCATCAGAACTGACAAACGTAAATATGTGGAAGATTTAGCAGTGACGGCGGAAAAGGCTTCCAGAGAAGAAAACATGAGACAACTGTATGACACAACAAAGAAACTCTCTGGAAATCACCGTAAACCAGAACGACCAGCAAAAGGCAAGGAAGGCATGATAATCACTAACATTGAAGAACAACGAAACAGGTGGGTAGAACATTTCAAAGAACTCTTGAATCGACCAGCCTCACTGAACCAACCCAACACCGAAGCAGCACTCACGGACCTCCCAATCGATGTTGGCCCACCAACAATTAAAAAAATCAGCTTGGCCATCAGACAAACCAAGAGCGACAAAGCAGCACGACCAGACAACATTCCAGCAGAGGCACTGAAAGTAGGTGTAGCAGTAACTGCAAGGATACTCCACATTCTCTTCAGAAAGATTTGGGATGAAGAACAAGTGCCAAAAGACTTGAAAGAAGGACTTCTGGTCAAAATACTGAAGAAAGGCGATCTCAGCAACTATGATAACTACAGGGGCATCACTCTTCTCTCAATACCAGGAAAAGTCTTCAACAGGGTATCGTTAAACAGGTTGAAGAACTCCGTAGGCGTCCAACTTCGACACTAACAGGCAGGATTCCGTAAACATAGATCGTGTACAGACCAAATCACAACTCTACGTATCGTTGTGGAACAATCAATTGAATGTAATTCATCACTCTTCATCAACTTCATTGACTACGAATAAGCATTTGACAGCGTGGACAGAACAACCCCATGGAAGCTTCTTCGACACTACGGCGTGCCTGAGAAAATAGTCAATATCATTCAGAATTCCTATGATGGATTAAACTGCAAAATCGTGCATGGAGGACAGTTGACAAAGTCGTTCGAAGTAAAGACCGGTGTCAGGCAAGGTTGCTTACTCTCACCCTTTCTCTTTCTCCTGGTGATCAACTGGATCATGAAGACATCAACATCTGAAGGGAAGCACGGGATACAGTGGATAGCTAGGATGCAGCTGAACGATCTAGACTTCGCAGATGATCTGGCTCTTCTATCGCATACGCAACAACAAATGCAGGAGAAGACAACCAGTGTAGCTGCAGCCTCAGCAGCAATAGGTCTCAATATACACAAAGGGAAAAGCAAGATTCTTCGATACAACACAGCATGCACCAATCCAATCACAATTGACGGAGAAGCTTTGGAAGATGTAAAAACCTTTACATATTTGGGCAGTATCATCGATGAACACGGTGGATCTGATGCAGATGTGAAGGCACGGATTGGCAAAGCAAGAGCAGCATATTTACAACTGAAGAATATCTGGAACTCAAAACAATTGGCAAACAACACAAAGGTCAGAATTTTCAATACAAATGTCAAAACAGTTCTACTGTATGAGGCCGAAACCTGGAAAACCATGAAAGCTATCATCCAGAAGATACAGGTGTTTATTAACAGTTGTCTACGCAAAATACTTCGGATCCGTTGGCCGGACACTATTAGCAAAAATCTACTGTGGGAGAGAACAAATCAGATGCCAGTGGAGGAAGAAATCAGGAAGTGGATAGGACAAACATTGAGGAAAGCACCGAACTGCGTCACAAGACAAGCCTTCACATGGAATCCTCAAGGCTGAAGGAGGAGAGGAAGACCAAAGAACACATTATGCCGGGAAATGGAGATAGGCATGAGAAAAATGAACAAGAGTTGGATTGAACTAGAGAAGAAGGTCCAGGACATAGTGGGTTGGAGAGTGCTGGTCGGCGGCCTATGTTCCATTAGGAGTAACAGGTGTAGGTAAGTAAGTAATGAAAAGAGATTACGTAATAATTTGTCTTCGAGATATTCAGTCATTAGTTCTTTATCTTGATTAGTAGCTGAACATTTACATTATTAGAGAATAATTGGTTCTAATTATCATTGAAATAGTTTATCTAGTGGAGTTGTCTAATAAACCTATTCTCGGTAACACTTTGCACAATATCTTCTAAGTAAATTTTCTTAGGATTATTAGTTGTAGACCTCAGGAAGCTGTTTCTTTAAATTTTTTGAATATTTGTATGTATCAGAATGGGGACATTTGGAGATTGTAGTAATTTTAATGGTTGAATTCATGAGTCAATTTAAGCTAGCAGAGAAACTTAGAATACCCATTTTGTCCTAACTGGAACTCATCAATTGAATTTCTGTATCTTGGCGTTTATGTTTACACCGAAACTCGAACCTAAATTTCAATCATTTCAAATGGCTTTATTTGTAGGGGTTTGTACTCTCCCGTTTGTTGATGGCCAAAATCCAAACATATTACAATACTACATTGATTCATCCGTTGAGGATGTACATATACTTATACAAACTGGTCAAAGGAACTTGTGAGGAACAGCAATCGAAAAGTACAAACTCAACCAAATTAGTGTTTCCCGATTTTTGACTTTTAGCTTATTGGATTTCTCATTATGTTTCGAAAAAAATGGAAGTCCATATAAGTTCAGTAGGTCTAAACAACTAGGTAACCATGTAGTCAATATTTGATAGCCCTTTGGTTTTTGTTGCTAAATATCGTTTATGTTCATTCATGTTCCTTTTAGAAGGTTTTTCAGTTTAAAAGATATGTCATACAGAAAGTAGTATAGATGATTACATTTGAATAGTTTTACTCTAATTTTTAAGTGTGACAACAATTACAAATAATGGGTCACACTATTTGATGATGAATTCTCTACAGAAAAAATAGATCTTTTTGTTCTAACGTTTTAGGCGATTGTTGAAGAGTCTACGAAACCTGATAAATCGTTGGATCCTTCTACATTCAACGGATTATTGGATCCTTTAATAAACAACACTAGTCAGTTAGTTGTATCCTCTTCGTGGTTATCTGGTGCATATCCTAACTCATCAACTGCAAATCCTCTAGAAGCTCTCGCTCCACTGACAAGTGATAATGTTTCCTCAGTATCGGTTTGTACAAATACAGGTGGTGGTGGCGGTGGCGTCGGAGGAGGAGGAGGTGGAGGAAGTTGTATGATTTCTTTTATTTCCGATGATCTTATACATGCTTTACATCGATTATTATTTACAAATCAAAGTAAAATTGGTGATTACCTAGCTAGCAATCGGTAATTCAAACATAAAGTTACTTTTATTATTAAATGATGTATATTTTCCACTATTATGTTATAAGACTCAGATGAATAAATCATTTTAAACAAATAATGAGAGGGAGTCAGTGAATTCAATTTATTTCATATGGTCTAAATTCTCTACAAGTTCACTTATTCCAGTGGTTCTTTAATTTTTCATGATGTTCTTACTGAAAATATGAAATCTGAAATGTTAAAAAATAATCTAAGTTTTAGATGAATTTTATTGTGCATTTTCAATGTTTGTACAGAACTAAAAATTATTCTCTCCTTTTCTGCTTCATAGTGATTGGAAAGCTGTTGGCAGACAACCATACGACAAAATGGTAACGTTATTGGCACATCTAGGTCCACCTGGGCATAAATCTGTTGATTGTATGTAAGTTTAAAAACGTACATCCAGTTCACCAATTAAATTCATTTATGATGATATCACCTATAAATTGAACATCCAGATTACATGGATTTTATTTTAAACTATTAAGTATGATTATGTATAACCCACAATTTTCCATTTGTACCGAAAAACAGTAGCAAGTAGTATTCTAAAAGTTGGAAACTGCTTTCAAACTTATGAATATATCACTGAGTTAGGCACGAAGAATGCGATAGTTTTTTTCACATTATGTTTACTAATGCGAGTCTTCTGATGGCGTTACTGTAAACCAGAAGCGATCGCTAGCTCACCCGATTTTCTAATATTTTTCCCAAAATTTAGGATGGCCAAGAAACAATCTTGCACTATTTTCATGTCAAACTTTAAAAACCTACATTATAAACCGACAGTAAGCTACGAATAATAATATAAACAGAATTGGAATCTGTCGGATACAGTTTTGTGTAACAGGTTTATGATCAATAAACAGTTATTTGTAAATAGAAAAATAGATCTCAATAAGTAATGAGTGAAATGAAATCCTACAATTTATTTTATGTCACACTACCATAAACCAATGGTTTAATAAACACGTATACACTAATTCGTTAAAGAATGACATCAAAGTTTCCCATTTCTATGTATACGTCCATTTGTATCAGTGATCATCAGGTCCAACGTTCTCAATATGTCTTTATTTGTATCATAGTTTCTAATGATAAAGCACAAAATTAGAAATATGAAACTTGTTGAACTTATTTTCATACTTTAAAAGACCCAAACATATTATTCACAGTTCAAATTTAAAAAATAATTTCATGACAAATTACCTGAAAAAAAAATTTTAAATATGATAATAATTACTCTTTTTCTACAATTTACGATATTAAGTACTCGAGTTGTTTGAAGATAATGTCTGAGGTGTAAATTCTCCAATATTTATTATGCATTAAATATTTGAAATCTTTCAAGTTTTCCAGTAAATATTTTACATTTGATTTTGCACAATATCGAATGTCCGTAAAAATTATTCATTGTTGACATTTGAGAATAATCATGAACTACTGCTAGCTAATTGTTAATTACAAACAACGACAATCAAATGTTGTGTTCATTTATCAAACAACATGAAAATTCTGGGCCCAACGTCATGTATTTTCAATTTTGTCTAGTAATAATTAGAAGTCAGCAATCTACATGAAATAGTTTTCTAACGTTTCATCACATTGATCATTTAGTTTATTCATTATTTATCGAGCTTTTAGATATTAACAACTCGTATAGATTCCAGAAATACTTGTACATAATTTATCATCTGTTATATAATACATTTTCAGTCATTTTTCTATACATAGATATAATAATTTGCCACTTAATTTTTTAAGGTGGAATTACTTGGATATACCATCGACGAGATTAGAAGACTGGGTACTACGGGGTTACCAGTTTCGTGACAGTGAAGAATTTAAACATTTGAAAAATGTAAATGCATTTTACCAAGCTGGTATTAGTCGATTAGGCAATCCAGTTTTTTACTACATCGCTAGGCGATATAAGTAAGCATCTTTTTACATCTGAATTATTGAATTTATCCTTTGAAAAATATGATTATATTGTATTCAGTGGCTACTTAAAAGTGACTCATTTGAAGGAATTCTAGGTTCTAATTATACCCTGACGTTTAACTTCAGACAGCAAGAACCTTGAACCAATGTCTTTTCAACGGTTGGACGTAAATCCACTTATCAAATTAACTGCATTACAAAGTTAGTCAGTGTACGATTGTCAGTATAAAATCTAGACAATATAAGATTAGTTGTTTTTCGGGGACTGGTTAGTTTAATTTATATCTGTCCATATAATTCTTGAAACGAAACCATATATATAATAATTATTTTTATATTATATAACACAACTACTAGTTTTAACTTGCTAAACACATTTGTTACTTTCGATTATCTCTGTTTTACAAAATTTTCTAAAATAAATATATCATATCTGTATCGTGTAATTTACTAAAGTACAATCTGCACTATTTCATTCTGAACTCTAGTTTAAATGAAACTAAAGTTTACACAAATCCAGTCAAGCTGAAACTTTGTATCATAAATCTATGTCTCTTTTAATAGCTTATTCAATATTTACAAAACATTAGGACTGTCTTTTTTGCAACTTGAAAACTGATTGGTAGTATGTTAATAGAAAGCTAAAAAGAAACAGTTGGCAGAATTTTTCTTTAACTAGTTACGTGTTAAGAAAGTAACTGTATTTTTGTACGTACTACACATTGTTAAATCGGAATTTGTGAAGTTCATTCTCGTATAGATGAATATGATTTTAATTAATCAACAGAACATCTTACAATAAAATTCATCTAGTTCTGGACAAATCGTAATATGAAAACGTTTAATGAAAAATTTGTTTAAATATCCAGTATGTCTTTAAACTTATTACTTTTGTCCAAGATAAACAGTTAACCAAAAAATCTTAACGTAATTAGTAACAAAGTACAGTTTTGTGTATAACACCTTGAATTGTAGTTTATGTTACAGAGTTAACGAAACTACTTTGTTACCCAAACAAAATTTGATGAAATAGACCTCAATCCTACAACTAATTACTTGATTACCAACATTGTCTCTTTGATTTCCTAACACAATAATAAGTTTTATGCAATGAGTTAATACAACTTAGTATCTCAATATAAAAGTCATTGTAATACACTTGGAACTCTGAATTACAAATTGCATCGTGCTACTAAAAATATTTATTAGAAAAAAGTGTCACTGCTGGTTTTAGATTTTACCTCAATCACTGAGTATTATACACTCATTTATCACTTGAATCATACACATTTATTTTAATTAAATTTTTTGATGATACTCTGAAAATCAGTGAGAATTTGTAATAAGAATTATTTAATTAATTAACCTTTTTCTTTAACTGATATAAATTACAATTCGTGTCTTGTTATATTATGGCAATGTATTTTGTATTCATTCATTTTACAAAATATAGGAAATAATTTGATTGCCATTGAACTTGTATCCCTTTTCGCCTTTGATTTACATTATTTTGTTTTATCTAAAGCTGCAAATTTTTATTAAATTAAAATAAGGATTAATGAATATCTAGCTGATAACTTATTTTATGATTTGTAGTCATAATCTGTCATTATAGTTTGTAATGATATTGTTTCTATTGTGGTGCATGCTACATTTGCTGACAGATATAAGTAGTATGTATTGCCAATAGGAAGTGGAATGCCTGCCAGCAGATGATCTCAATGAAAAGAACATGAGGCGAAATAGAGAGTAATTGTAATAGCAACAGAATTGGAAGAATCGTGAAGAATGTAAAATACGATTGATGAAAGATGTGCAAATAATATATTTAATGTATGGTTTTCATATTTTACCAAAACACTTCGTAATTTCGATTTTTCCCATCTAAGTTCTCGTTCACTGCACTACTTCATTAATGTAACGTTGTTACTCTTCATGCTCGACTTGAATAATCCTTTCGGTGTTATATATATATATATATATATATATATATATATATATATCTTCATTCTTTTGCAATTACTTATGTGTATTAATTCGCACTTTTTCAAGATCACGAGAGTATCAACGCGTGGAATATCCATTTATTATATGTTTAGTCTCAATGACATTGGATGCTTATCGTAATAAACCTTTTGAAGTTGTCATTGATTTCACTCATACATCAGTTGAAAATCGATTTAAGGTTAGTTTCCAATGTTTAATGATTTCCATTATATTAAGTACTCAAATACACAAACACATTTAAATATGTCTGTAGAACCTGATGTGAAATTATCGTAAAGAATATTCTTCGTTCCTATATCTGTGTTTCAGTTTTATCTTTCATAATGTTTTTTTTTGTATTCAATAAATTAGAATTACGTTCAAATAATAATTAGTGTTTTGATAGTTATATATCGATGCTTTGATATATGTGCCTTTTATTCACTGACCTAAATATTCATTTCTGTACTTCATAAATAATTAAAAAATTTATCGATATATAAATAACAATACGAGGAACATTTGTTAAATTCTAAGAGGCAAATGAGATACAAAATTTTCTACTCTGGAATAAGAATTGTGGTGCTAAGTAGCTGAAACAGCCTTATTGGATAATCTATTCTGTTGTTGAACGGATCAACGTAAACCATTTATTCACTTTATCGCTGTAATTTCATATTACTTTAAAAGGTGTGTATAGAGTGCCATATCCGATTCTCTGTCTTCTGATATTCCGTGACTCAGAGAGATCTAGGGTCCTGTAGCAAATGAGGGGGTTAGTAATTATATTTATTATTGATCTGTGTATCTATGTATAAGTGTGACTAGATTGTTCGAAATGTATAAGACAAATACATCACATTTTTCAGATCAACTCTGTCTTCTCATTGTTCTATCGAGATTTGTGTATCACCAGTACATATCTGTTTCGATTATTATTGTTATTATCCAATTCAGTCGGTTATATCGATGAGTTTTCTATCTGAAATCAATATGTGATATAAAATATTCTAAAACGGATATGTTTAACGATTAGATAAAATGATGACAATGTTTCCTGTTGTTATTATACAGAAAACCAAATTAGCTAAACTATAGTTCAATAAACTTTTCAAAACAAATAATGGTTACATGATGATAATATAGCGATTGTTCTTTGTGTTATCTATAGATTTTCAATGCATTGTTTATTTTATTCTTAGACCTTAGCTTATGAAAATTAGTCGTGAATCAGCTTGAAGAGTGTATTCTTTGAGTTGTTAAGTTCTATTCAAGTGACATCATGACCATTTGAAAGTCTTTCAGTGGTTGTTCTTATTGTTTAACATTATCATAACGAATTAGCTTATAAGTCAGTCTTATACCTCTTTCTTGGCTTTAATTCAATTTCACTGTTTATATTCACTAAATTGCTTTGTGGTGTGGTCTAAGATATATGTTTCTTTTTATATGGGAAATTTTAAACTGAAGACAACCGATAATCACGAAAAAAGAGCTAATTATCAAAAATTAGTAGCTATAATTTGAAAGAGATAAATCTAAAATTTGAAATTTAATGGAAACGCAATATGTTATGCAAAAACATTCAACTGCCAATCTGTAAATGAAATGGTACACATACGTTTCACTCTACTGAATAATATACCAAGCTACTATTAATAACATTCATGAAAGGACCACCTATACAATTTTTCAAATATCAGGAATCAGAACTTTCAACTTCTAACTTTTCTTGATTTTAAATTTCATAATCTCAGACACTGTTTCACAACTAATAACCTGTTACATGACATTTTTTAGAATGACCTTTTAAACAAATGGGCTAATATAATTGGGCCAGTTCTACGTGAATATCTTGTTGCTGCATATATTTACAATTGCAATTCATGGGTTCGTGAATATACCAAAATACACGATCGATTTTTCTCACCAATCAAGGCATGTTAATAATTTAGCCTATTGTTTAAATATATATATATTACTTTCGCCTGTTACTCCTCGTGAAGGAGCATAGGCCGCTCACCAGCATTCTCCATCCAACCCTGTCTTGGGCAATCCTTTCCAGCTCTTTCCAGTTCTTATTCATCCCTTTCATATCCGCTTCTATTTCCCGACGTAATGTGTTCTTTGGCCTTCCTCTTTTCCTCTTCCCTTCAGGATTCCAAGTTAGCGCTTGTCTCGTAATGCAGTTTGATGATTTCCTCAATGTATGTCCTATCCATTTCCATCGTCTTTTCGTAATTTCTTCTTCCGCTGGAAGCTGGTTGGTTCTCTCCCACAAAAGGCTGTTGCTGATGGTATCCGGCCAATGGATGTTGAGTATCTTGCGTAGACAGCTATTGATAAATACTTGTACCTTCTTGATGGTGGTTGTTGTAGTTCTCCAAGTTTCAGCTCCGTACAGTAGAACTGCCTTGACGTTCGTATTGAAGATTCTGACTTTGATGTTGGTTGAAAGTTGTTTTGAGTTCCATATGTTCTTTAATTGAAGGAATGCTGTCCTTGCTTTGCAAATCCTCGACTTTACGTCTGCATCTGAACCTCCTTGTTTGTCGACGATGCTTCCCAGGTATGTGAAAGATTCCACATCTTCCAGAGTTTCGCCATCAAGAGTGATTGGATTGCTGTTCTCCGTGTTGGGTTTGAGGGCCTTGGTTTTCCCTTTGTGTATTTTGAGGCCTACTGATGCAGAGACTTCTGCTACACTGGCTGTCTTTATCTGCATTTGTTCGTGTGTATGCGATAGGAGGGCTATGTCATCTGCAAAGTCTAAATCGTCTAATTGTTTCTGAGCTGTCCATTGTATGCCGTAGTTTCCCTCAGATGTCGAGGTCTTGATAATCCAGTCGACCACCAGAAGAAAGAGGAAGGGAGAGAGTAGACAACCTTGTCTTACTCCGGTCCTCACTGGGAATGCATCTGTCAGCTGTCCTCCATTCACTACTTTGCACTGTAGTCCGTCGTATGAGTTCCGGATAATGTTGACAATCTTCTCAGGAACTCCGTAGTGTCGAAGAAGTTTCCATAACGTCCTCCTATCTACACTGTCAAATGCCTTCTCATAATCAATGAAGTTGATGTAGGGTGACGAGTTCCACTCAATTGATTGTTCGACGATGATCCGTAGTGTCGCAATTTGGTCTGTGCACGACCGGTCCTTACGGAATCCAGCTTGTTGATCTCGAAGTTGAGCGTGTACTGTGTCTTTCATCCTGTTCAGTAACACTCTGTTAAAGACTTTTCTTGGTATTGACAGTAGTGTACTGCCTCTGTAGTTTTCGTACTTGCTCAGATCTGCTTTCTTTGGAATCTTGATGAGGTGTCCTTCCTTCCAGTCCATCGGCACTTGTTCCTCCTCCCAAATCTTCTTGAATAGAAGATGAAACATGTTCTTAGTTACTTCGATGTCTGACTTCAGTGCTTCAGCTGGTATATTGTTGGGTCCTGCTGCTTTCCCGCTCTTGATTTGTCTGATGGCCATTCTGATTTCTTCCATCGTTGGTGGATTGACATCTATAGGAAGATCTGTGTGTGCTGCTTTGATGTCCGGTGGATTCATTATAGTTCCTCGAAGTACTCTGCCCATCTGTTCCGCTGTTGTTGAATCTCAGTGTTTGGTTTTCCTTCTTTGTCTTTGACTGGTCTCTCTGGTTTACTGTATTTCACTGCTAGCTTCTTCGTCGTATCGTAAAGCTGTCTCATATTTCCTTCTCTTGCAGCTTTTTCCGCCGTCGTTGCTAGTTTTTCCACGTATTTTTGCTTGTCAGCTCTAATGCTCTTCTTCACTTTCTTGTTTGCTTCTATGTACTCAGCTTGTGCTTGAACTTTCTCTGCTCTTGTTCGACTGTTGTTAATTGCTGTCTTCTTGTTCTTTCTTTCTTTGATCCTGTTCCGTGTTTCTATAGAGATCCATTCCTTGTGAAGATGCTTCTTGAGGCCAAGAACCTCTTGACACGTTGAAGTTAATGTCTCTTTGATGCCTTTCCAGCTATCCTCCATAGTAGTTTCTTCTTCCTTCAGTAGATCCTGTAAGGCTTGGAACCTATTGTTGAGAGCTACCTTGAATTCATTGAGTTTGTCAGTATCTCGAAGGAAAGCTGTATTGAACCTTTGTGGTGCTGTTTGTCAAGTTGTCCAGTTCTTCTTTAGCTTCAGTTTCAATTTGACCACAACCAGGTGGTGATCTGAAGCTATGTCCGCTCCTCTCCTGGTTCTCACATCTTCCATTGTCCTTCTGAAATTTTTATTGATGCAAATATGATCTATCTGGCTCTCTGTGGTGTGGTCCGGTAAGATCTATGTAGCTTTGTGTATACGTTTGTGTGGAAATATTGTGCCGCCTATGACCAATTTGTTGAATGCACACAGATTTACAAATCTTCCCCCGTTTTCATTCCTCTCTCCCAGTCCATGCAGTCCCATGATATCTTCATATTCGGTGTTGTCCATTCCGACTTTGGCGTTTAGATCTCCCATCAGAATGGTGAGGTCTTTTTTGAGCACTTCTCTATGATTGGTTGCAGCCTCTCATAGAATTGATCTTTAACTTCGTTGTTGCTATCATTGGTGGGTGCATAACACGGGATAATGTTCATTGTGATCCCCTCCTTCTTTGTTTTGAATGATGCTTTGATGATTCTGGATCCGTGAGATTCCCATCCTACAAGTGCATTTTGTGCTTCTTCGGACAGCATTAGAGCAACTCCCTGAGTGTGTGGAGCATTCTCCTCTTCATGACCGGAGTATAGCAGCATCTCTCCCGTATTTAGCCTTTGTTGTCCAGCTTGAGTCCAATGGGTTTCGCTGATTCCCAGTACTGCCAAGTTGTAGCTCCTCATTTCCGTTGCTATTTGACTGGTCTTCCCGGTCTCCCACATTGTCCGGACGTTCCATGTACCTATAAAAATTGTTGCTCTGGTTGTTAGAAGGGGCATCGGCCTCATGGCTTCCGAAGGAACTCGGCTTTCACCCTGAGGCGTCATATTTCTTCTAAATGAAGACCTTCTAACTGCCAGAGCATAGTTTAAATGGTTTGAGTTATTTTTTCTGGTTAGCGTTTTTTTAGCGAGTTAGTTTTCTACGGGATGGGGACGCTAACCCCATGCCCAACCCTCCTCCTTTATCCGGGCTTGGGACCGGCAGTAACTCTAGGAGAGCTACAGGTGGAGTTATATATATATATATATATATATATATATATATATATAGTAGAGTAAATATTTTTATGAATGCAAACAACGAAAATTAAATAACCGTGTGCTTGTAAAAACACTACGTTAGGTCAGTTTTGTTTTGAAAACCTAGGCTAGTATTCCATTGGTAGTTTATCACTGATATTTGTATGAAATAATTCCTACTTGTTCCGTATTTTTACCTGGATAGAAATATTTTCTTTCATACTACATCCAACTAAATTAATTGCAAAATAATCAATTCTTACTACCATATAACTACAAGGGTCTCAATTATAATTAGGCATCCACCTATCCAGTTCCATTTTTGCACTGACTGACGAGATTGTAATTACGTAATTACAATAAGTGTACACCAAAAGTCACGTATGAAGTTAAATTAAGTAGCAAACGTTTTCTTAAAGGTTGACAAGACATTTTAGGTAATCGGATTTAAGTGAATTTTCCACATTCCTGTAAAATAATGGTTTATAAGTTATTTAAAGAATACGTATTTCCATTCCCTTATCATTACTTGTTTGCATTCATTATTCAAAGCTGATTTACCATCACGATTATCCATAGTGTCAGTTAATTATTTTGATCAGTAACAATATAGTTTTGTAGTTATAACATAAATACCTATTTACTTATCTTTGCAACACATATACAAAAGAATGGCTTGATAAGATATATCAAGCAATATTTATTTAAATTGAAGTTCGTTATTGACATCAGTAAAAAAACGTGCTGATTAATTTCATTTCTTTCTTTTGTATAGGGTTCCAGGAAACTTGTTTTCATTGATCACCCATCGCGTTTAAATGAATATATTGAACCGGACCAACAAAGACTTCCTGCTGGAACATTAGTTTTAGAAGAAGATCTACGTGTTTTCAATGGAGCTTTGAAATTATCGCATAAAGACACGAAAGTAGCTATCAAAGTAAGTAGAAACATTGTAGTTGAAGTATGCAATATTTAAAATTTTAAAATAATTGAAGTTGAAAGAAAGAAATTTGAATTATTTTTGTTACAGTATTAACATCCATATTAACTACACTATGTTGTTGACATTAACAATTTCATTTTCACAATAATTTCAGCAAAATAACACGAATCCATTTTATTTCACTAGGTTTTCATCAGCTGTTTGCAACCTATTATATTTTAAAATAAAAATTCTGAGCAGAAGTTAACTTACTGATGTAAGTGAAGTTGATAAAACTGAATTATTAGAGTGAGCCTGGACAAATCTCTGAATAACCCTGATAGTTTCTTCATCGATTCAAGCACTCAAAAACGATGAAGTGTGAATGAGTGATTTATAATACTAGAACTAGGTTTTGAGCTATAGAATCATGATTTAACATTATGGTTTGAGATTTGAATTTAGGGCAATGATAAATAGATAAATTACATTTCAGAAATATTTACAGAGTATATGACAGTATATAAGCATGATTTCGTTGGTACCGAAAGAAATATAAAACTAGATAAATAGAGATATATATGTTTAAAAATGCGTGATACAAAAATCGTTTTAAAAGGACATTCGCCACAAAGATTGTAATAGTTTGAAATGGCATTTGAGAGCCGGTAACTTTTTGTTGGAGGACTAGAACATCCTGTTAAAGTATAAATAGGATTTATAACTCAGGGTTAGAATAAAAAAGTAGTCTAAGATTTATAGTTGAATTTACGACTTAGGGTACATATAGACCAACCTAAAACCTGATCCCTTTTGTGACTTAATCCTAAATTAACTTAGAATCGTTTTGTCATACAAATACTGATATTTTTTTGATTAAAATTATTTACTATACAATGAGTGAGCGAAAATTCCTCAGGACGATTCCCCAATTCATTATTGGTAGACGATATGCTGTTTTGACATATACCTTGTGACCTTAAGTGATTTGCATGTTCATTATTGGCTCATGTGACGACGGACCACGGGTGAACTCGAGGAAGCTATAAGAGGCTCAGAAGGAGCCGAAGATATTCCATCCAATCACCGTTAGGAAGGATATTCTAGAATCCCTACGTGTAGCTTCCCGATTGGACAAGGCTAATAACCCCCTGTATGCGGATTGGAGGACTATAATGATGATTTTTTTCTTACTAAAACTATAAATACCTGACAATTTGTACCCATAATTAACACTGTTTGGAATAACATTCCTTTCACTAGTCTTCTGTCTTCTCTTTGCGACCTGGATGGGTTTGGGCGTTCGTGTGTTCAGTTGTACGCGTTATATCAAGTAAATCAACCATTTCTAGATATAACAGCTCACTCTTGTATTTCAGCTTTACTATGAAATTAGTTAAAAGTAAATATGTATCATCGTAGTGAGGAAAATATTTTGAAAAAGTTAATAAGAATGAAAGTGTTGTAAATACAACCGTTAATAATCATTGAGAATAACAGGAGTTGAGATAGGTAGTTTATTTATTTGCTGCGGCTTCAGGAAATTTTGGAAGACTCGAGTTTGGTTGTCTGTTAATGAACTTGAAATATTTCAATGTATCAAGCTACTCCACGGTAATGATATAAGATTTTTATCGATATAAAGTCGAAAAATTCTTAAACTGTTTTCCTGGGTATCTTTTTAATGAATCTTAGCAATGAGTTTTGATTTATTTTGTTCAATAATTCTCGATTGTCATTGGTGTACTTTCTAATCGAAATTGCAGAATGTTGTATTAACTTGGAATAATGTACTATCATACATAGTCCTATATTTTGTTAAAATTACAAACCAATCTGAGCTATAACACTATTGAAACTTGAAAAAAATTAGATGGCTGTTTTGTCCTTGTTTGGGTATGCTCAACTATGCTCATACGCAACCTCCACGCGGGGCTCAAATCCAGGACTTTCATTTTCGCGCACGGACATTTGACCTCTACACTACTAAGCCGGTGTCCAACGGTGATAATGGCTAGCATCGATCGATCCATGAATAATTCACCTAGAAATGTTATTAATTTTCATCCATTATGAAATTATTTTCCTTAATTAGTGTAATATGAACATTTCTTAAGATATTTTGATAGAAAATTCTTAACAATAAACATAGCTCTTTTTTGTTTAATGAAATAATTTTAACAATAACATTTAGTTTAGAGATAGATAACTTGTGATTAAGGTTGAACACTTGGTATGTAGCTATTAGAAATTTTCATTTCAAATATCCCATTAATTTTATTAAATGTTTGATTGATATATCGTTTATCTTGTTTACTAATAAATAGGTGTGTACGAATGCTATTCAAGTTACTTCAACTGAAAAAACGAAAGTTCTTGGTCATTCAGTCATTTTGAATGACGTTTATTATGCTTCAGAGATCGAAGAAGTAAGCAATCAGTTCATATGTTAATAATATTATTATAACTGATATTTGTGGTAGTAAGTAATTCTGAAAATTAAAAAGTTTAAATGTAGAGACTTTTAGTTCTGTTCTCTGTAAGTACAATATAAATTAACTCTCCTAACCGTTAGACTATCGAGTGGATGTTAAATGGTTTCAATGTCTGACTTCAATCATCCCTGCATATAAACTGTGACATCCGACAGTTTCCATAAATATTTAGTGCTAAAACTATGGTGTTATTTTTTTCATGTTAACACATGAAACTAAGTGATAGATATACGTCATCAAAGGTGTTTGAAGGTTCCTGTTAACCTACCGCTTTATCGTACACAATTAGCAGATCATCTAAATAATCACAATATTCAAATCTTTCCAAGTTATTCTTACTGCAGTGATTAAGATGGAATATGTATTTTGTATCAGTAATTTTTTAGAAAAAGATTTCGATCTGTTGACTAGAACACATCATTTTGGAACAATTTTCTTTCACACATTTCATATTTCATCATTCAATTTTGCTCTGTTTTTAGTATTTGACAGATGACCGGAGTAAAATCTATCATTTTCAATTTATAAAATCTAATTTAATCATAACTTTAATTTCTATTCGCCGCATATATTGTTTAATGTATGACAATAGTTATAGATTTATAAATGTTGAGTCTCACGAAGTTATTGTGTGATATATTCTTTGTTTTTGAACATGCACTCCTAAATAAACTAGAGTGTAGCTGTCGATACAGAGATGACACGCTAATCATGTGCGACAAAAGTATCAATAAAGAAAAACTGTAAATAGTTTCGGTACTGCTCACATGGTTATTAAAGTCACCACCGAAGAGAAGCATGACGACTCTAATAGCTTTCCTTGATAACATTCTTTCCAAAAGGGTAGATGGTTCCATAAACAAGGAATTTACTTGTGAAAAATACATGGACTTGTAAGTACAAAATAAACCTGAGTAGTTATGTCAACCATAGAATCAGACTATTATGTTCTGAAGATATTGCCAATAGTAAGATAGATAAACCAAAGAATGCACAACGAAATAATGGCTATGCAGAGTACGTCGTCAAAAAACACCTATCTGAACAGAAAAATAGGGCAAACTCTGACAGTCAGCAAAAAAACCGTTTATCTAAAACTCGATTTTAAAGGGGTATAGCGGGTGATATTTTAACATTTCAACTTAAAAGATTGATTTGATAGGACATTTAATGCCTCCGGATTACATTTAATTTCAACTAAACCAATATTTTAACAACGAACCAAGGATAAGTTACCGATGATAGGCTCCTCAATTTATTTATATCAGTTCAACTGCTCCTGTGCAGCTAGTTACACATGTCGTACTCAGAGCAATTTATCTTTACTTTCTCGAAACACGTACAGACGTGATTGAAAAAGGTGTCAAAAAACCTATCAACAGCGCCATCTTTTCTTTTTTGGTTGAGAGTGAACATATTAAAACAGGTGGGACTTTTTCTTATTTGTATCAAGCTTTAAATAATCTAACTAAAGGAACGAAATTATGACCCCTCTACGTAGCTGAATTCTTCGGGATTAACTCCAGAAGACCTGAAATTTGTATCCAAAAGTGATATGTTCAGCCTCTATATTTTCCTTGACCCATAACTGGATCACCTAAACTGGATGTTATAAACCCCTTACCACCCCCCTGATCCTCTTTATGTTCATATCTACCCAACCCCATTTTTTAATTTATACATTCATCTTTTCCAATTCACTTGTATTGCTTATCATAACTGTCTTTACAATAACTCGCTTATATCACATTTACACGATGTTACTATCATTATCACCACTATTATTGTTGTTATCATTATTATCTTCACTAATCAAATAAAATTGTCCTACTATACATTTTACTTACATGATTCCACTATTATATTGATTATATCTTGAAACCTTAAAAAGGATCATTTTGACCTTACGTAAATGACCTTTCAAATTGACAAATGGCACATTTTTAGAGTATTTATGCCGTGAATGATGCAAATGTTCACCATCATTTGACGCATTGTTTTGTTTATTAGCATAACTTATTTTGACCTTTGTAATACAATAAAGTAATTATGGGCTGTAGAGCCTGATGACGAGGATGTTGAAAACAATTGTTTTCTCCAACATTCTTTATTGTTAAATGTTCTTTTTGGATCTTAAAAATTTTATCTTCGTCAGCCAGTTAAACAAATACTATACATACACTATGAAGATAATTTGTTATATTTGCCAGATACTCGATGTCTTAGTTTCAAAACAGTAGAAAATTAATTCTGAACATTACAGGCAATGATTGTATTGGTGTAAATATGATCACGCATAATTAAATGAAACCTAAACTATCCCACATATAATAACCGAATTTCTAGTTCATGTTCCATTAATCTTTGTTTCAGTTATTGTACTTTTAAATAAGTTGAAGCGATCACAACAGTGCACATGCTTGATTTGCATCTTAATGTTATTCTTTCATTAACACTATGTTATCTGCGTCATTGTTAATTTATTCTGAAGTTTTACCTATCCTGATTTTGTAAAACACTGAAAATCTCATATCTGAGCATGTTTGATAAAGTCTCATCACTTGAAATGATAATTAGTATCTTCGAAAAGAGTTTTAACGTCGGCTAAGAGCAATCATGATTTTTGAGTGAGGAAAAAGATACTGTTTCCTTCAAATACATAACTACTAACTAATGATTAGAATTTATAAAAACTTCTATTAGTCAGTTAAAAACAACGTATGAGCTAGCGTAAATCTATGTTATCCCATACTACATCAACAAAATGAAAGAAAATTAATAACATGCATACTGAAGAAATAAATCTATCAATAGTTTTAATGATAGTAATGTGGGGTATGCTACATATGTCTGTCGACAGAAGCGGTATGTAGCACCAATCGGAAGTGGAAACCCTGGCAGCAGAATGCTAAGAAGATCAAGTTGCGGAGAATAGAAATAGAAACAGAACGAAATCGCGAATAGAAAGAATCATACAGAATATCAAGAACAAATGATGGAAATTTACAAATGAAGTATTCATTGTACGGTTATCACATTTTACCAAGAGATTATGTAATTCCATATTCAAATACATCTGTGTTCTTGTTCATTACACTTCTGTTATGTAGTAATATGGTACAATTAAGTTCTAAATTTATCTGTGAATGTAAATGATAATGTAAATGATTATTATTATATTATTATTATAAGCTTTATTCAACATTATATTTGTGGTACAATATTGATTTCTCAGCATAAAGTATTTCAACAAGTTTCCTTTTCTTATATCTTGATCGATCCTGACGATAAATATTGAGTGATGGCCAGTTAGATGTTAGGAGTTCGATAATCGACATCTGAACAATGTTCATTCGTTTCAACGCATATTGCAAACCACCATGATGTCGCTGGTTGTACCTTTTGTTATCCGTACAGCGAAAGGTTGTAAACTTTTCATAAACGCGCCTGAATAGGTTGTGAGCTCAATAGACATAATAGTGTGTTAAAACAAACAAGAAAACAGATAACTTGACGAAATATCTAGATGGGAGGAACAGGTAGCCCAGATATTCAAGCAGGCCGCCGATAATTCACTTACAATTAAAGGTAAATAATCTGTAAAATTAATCATTTAGTTATGTGTTCAACAATTGCGTGACATTAACTCTTAGCTAAAAGTTCAAGTATCAACTTTGAATTTTTTCATGCAAGCAAATATTGTTATGCTTTACTTCGTAAATAATATGTTCAATGATCGAACAATCATATATATACCCTAAATAATAAACATATTTTGCATTTTTTTAATCTTGTTTTTTGACTTTTTTTAGGTTTGTTTAGTTGATAATAATCAATTCACACTAACTATTTTAAATGATAATGGTCCATTATCTTTTATACATGATGCATGTGACTCCATTGTTCAAGCTATTATACACATACGTACAAGATGGGCATTATCTCAACCGGATACACCAGCAATTCATGCCAAGATTAAGCCACGTGATGTTCCTGGAACTTTGCTAAATATAGTAATTTCTTATTTTTACGTGTATTTATTTAGTCCTAATACTGTCATTCTTACATGTTCCGTACGTAAATGAGGTAATATTAAATTATCCATGCAACATTCCACTAGTGACTAAACACCGAATGGACTTAGTTTTATATAATGTTTTATTGATGGAACCGGACTGATCATTAAGGAATATCTAACATTAATTAGTGTTACATAAATATTACAATAATAAATTTACAGAACATGTATTCATAACTGCTGAATAACTTAAGAACTAATTACTTATAAAACTGCCAATATATACTGATTGATCAATTTTCCGTGATATTAGATAATCTACTAAATACCATTAAACTTCCTTCTAAATAAATTTTAGAATACAAAATGACTAGATTAAATTATTTATTCAGAAATATTTATCAAAGAATAAAAATGTAAACCATGAATTTATATTCGTTAACAAATAACCAATGAAAATTCTTTCTCAGGCACAAAACTTCAGTTCTGAATTCCCTGTAACTCATTTTATAAGAAAGTAGCATAAAAGAGAATTACAGCATTCCAAACATTAAAAAAAATTAAGTAAATAATTTAGCGATCACCTCTGACTTCGAAACAGAATATATATATATATATATATATATATATATATATATATATATATATATATATATATATATATATAGTTTGTTTCTAAAGGCAAATTATAATGCTTATAATTTTTTGTCAAATGTAGACAGCGTAATAATTCAGTCTTTACCCATATCCGTAACATTTTATCTGATTTCTAAGTCAAAAAAACGAAATGTCAACTTCCTTACAGATGTCTTGTTATCATGTGGTGTGAGCTACTTATGTTTTTATATATAAGTAGTATATGACACTAATAGAAAGTGGAATGCCTGGCAGCAGAAGGTTCAGAAAATCGAATAGAAGAAAACGTGAACTCATTAGATTTTAATTAGGGTGATAAATGGTTTAATTCTATTTGCTAAAACTCAAGGTTTGAGGTACTATTGAGTGTAACAGTACTTCCTTGACATTTCCTTTTCATAGTTAAACTTACCGTACCAAGAGGCGCTTTGAGAAAATACACTACTTTGACTTGTTTTAACGGAAACAAGTTTCCATGAATGCATTTGCATTAGTATTTTACTATGCATTGAAGTTAAAAACAGAACTGGCAGTAATCACAGTGACATAAAACCTTTTTTTTGATCATATATATATATATATAATATGAATGATTTGACCCACCATCTAGTTTTTCTTTTTTTTTCTATTTTTATTGTAGGCATTACTTAATTTAGGCAGCTCCGATCCAAATCTGCGATCAGCTGCCTACAACTTACTTTGTGCTTTAACACAAACATTTAATTTGAAAATTGAAGGACAACTATTAGAGACTAAAGGACTATGTATTCCTGGAAATAATACACTATTTATTACAGAGATAAGTAATCGTCTAGCACAATTAGAACCACATTTAACATTAGAATTTCTTGAAGAATGTATACAAGGATTTAGTCGTTCAAGTATCGAAATGAAACACTTGTGTTTAGAATATATTACACCTTGGTTACCTAATTTAACACGTTTCTGTCGTTCGGATGATGCTAAACGACAAAAAGTAAGTTCTTTTGTGTTATCAGTTACACTCGACTGTGAAATAATTCTAAATACTCGCTATTAAAGCTTAAAACAGAATTATGTCCTATCTTTGAACTGAATTATTTTTATTAAATATGCATCTAAAGAACTATTGAGAATTAGAGCAGTTTATATAGCTAATTCTAGCTTGACATTACTTGACATTGTACAATTCTTATCTCATAATGGATCTAATTTGTGATATTCACGTCATTCTATCATTCAAAGTGACTGAAGTTATTAAGGTCGGTCATGTGTTCACCATGACATGCGAAGATTTATATCATTATTCAATGCTTATGTTTTTAACAACCATTGATTTTTTTATTATATGAAATCCGTGAAATTCTCCAGATCACCCAGATTATTAAATTTCAAAATTTTCATATCCCATATCTAGTGGGTAGTACAACAAAATTTACCAACATTTTACTACAAAACGGATAAATAAGTCAAACAATACTTTATTCTTTGGTGTTAAGTGTGTTCTATATAGCAATTATTCCATAGTCTTGAGTTTCATAGGAAGCATGTGAATCTGTCCTTTATGTTGAGATTAGTTTATTTAAAATAAGTGACACAAATTCTTACTACACATAATTACTGCAATAATTTAGACTTATTAATGCCGGATTGTCGTGTATTTCATTGCATTACATTTTCAGGTAAATGTTATAATTGACAAGTTGATTACTTTAACAATTGAAGAAGAACAAATGTATCCGTCTATTCAAATAAAAATTTGGGGAAAATTAGGTCAAGTTCCACAACTTTTGGGACTTGTTCTAGACAATTTTATACAACGTTCCGTTAGTTGTGGATTAGGTAGTTTACAAGCAGAGATAATGGCTGATACATCAGTTGCACTGGCAGCTGTAAACAAACAACTTGTATCGAAGAAAGTATTATCTAAACTATGTCGTGTAAGTTTGATATTTTTTTTGTAAGCTAAGTTTACTTTTAACTAAGGTACATGAACATCGATAAGAGTTAACAATGTTCTATGGTGATTTTATTCTACTGATCAATTTGTAATGCGATCATTAGCCTAAGGGGATGAAAATTACATAGTTCTGACGTAAAGTGGTCGGAAGTGGTCGTCATGAAACTTTAGACCTGAACCTCTTGCTTATTTTCACTCTTCAGGAAAGCATATTTTCAATCCTCAAGAAAGTCGTGATGTCCGTGAGATTCGAATCCACATCACCTAGCTTCACAGTCCGAATTACTTGAACCTAACACCATTTCCCTAAATATTGTACATACTTGATGACAACCATCAACCACCCAAGTTACTACTTTTCACTAAAACCTTATAAACCATAAGGTTACTCTTTCTATAGAGTAGTTTAGGGTAGCTTTCTAATGCTTTTTATTTGAAGTGTCATAGTAATTTTTTCTCTGAATATAAACTATTTGAACAACAATTATCTGTTGATGAACAAATAAACTTAACCATAGTGGATCATACACTATCCTATATGTTTATTAGTTGGTCTGTGAAGGTGTAAGACAAACAAAGCTTACTGTTCTTTGAAAAAAGCTATCCTTAAAGCATTGGAAACGTATGTTAGAGCCATCATATAAGTAATACTGAAGTTGGTCGTAAATTATTTGGTTGGTAAATCAGTTAACAGGATTGTGTAGCTTCAATATATCAGGTGATCGGAGTTTATCTTACTCATATTCAGACTTAGGCTCCCTTGATTTGTAATCCTAGGTATCATAAAGGAAGACTATTTATACACGACACTAGTTCATCGAGTCATTTACTCTTAGTGTGAGTATGCATACTTATCAACCTTTTTCATGTTTACATTAATCTATCTAATCACTGTAGTTATTCCCCCTTCCAAAGAAATTAGATTTTTTGTCTAATTTTTCATATAGTTTATTGAAAAGACGTGTTCTGCCCCAACAACCCTATTGGAACAACATCCATTGTGGCCAGAAACTGCGCCATTGCTACGATATTTATTAATGTTATCATTCAATAATTGTTTAGATAGTAAGTGTTCAAAATAATGATAAAAATATGTATTTTTTTAATAATTTTATTTTCGTGAATATGGTTGTGATTGGTCGCCCATGAGGAGAGAAGGATGAGTGCGGAACCAGGACTAATTAGTTGTCTAGTGCTTCTCGATCTATTCCGATTATCCGGCTGATAACAATGCGTGATAGAAAAACTTCGAATTGCCAAAAATGCTAATTGTTTGACTGTTTCAAATCTTGCCACATGGTAGTACAGTTGATTATCTTTTCTTCAAAATACTTTAATAATTTTATTCAGTGTTAAAATAGTAGTAACTAAATGTGCTAAAAAGAACTCATAATTATTACATACATATCTAAGAATTTTAATTGGAAATTTCACTTCGATAAGTAACTTTGGTCAAGATAATTTTCATGTACAATAGGTTATGTTATAAAAGCAAGACGCTCGTTAATTTTCTCCAAAGACTTATCTTTAATATCATCATTGGTAAGTGTCTAGATCTGGGATAAAATGTATTTAAGCTCAACTGGTTTATTTTTGTACACCCCCAACCTTCTGAGTAAGGTTCTACCAGTAGTGTAACTCCATACCATGTTTAAGCAATCGGGACTTTAAAGAGCTTGTGTAGGTTAGTAGCTGTTTAATGTATTTATATACACGTCGTTTATTTACATGTATATGACTGGGATCTCAGGAAATCGGTTTTATATTTGTTAATATTCATTATTCATAACCATAACTGGAATTAAAATTGTTGAAAATTTCTTTTCGAAAATTTTTATTATACAACTTGAAAATTGTGTTTATATATATATACTTATTCCAGTATGTACACATTTGCCTCGGTTATTTCACATTGCTACTTTATTGGTGTGTACTGGTCCGCTATCTCTGAGAGCGTCTGTACATGGATTTGTGATCAATGTTATTCATTCATTGTGTACTTCATCTTTAGCTAAACAAATTTCTGGTGAGTTAAATCATTTGATTAGAATATTATATTAATATCTCTGATTTTGTCCTACTGGTGTGAAATAAAAGACTTTTACGAATACATCTCACTAAATTGAATATCTAGTTTCAATATGCATTCTATTTATGATGGGCCGTTGATTAACTGTGGTAAAGATAGTAAGCACGTAACATATTTCTCAAAATGTTTCTGTTTTCATTACCATTAACATAATTCACATCTAATTTTAACAGTACTACTATATTCTAATGTAAAGCATAACATTTATAAATTTTTCAGTTTATTCTATACAATGTTGGCACACAAGTTTAGTAATGCACTTTGTTGTATGTCATACAAACAATTCTCTCTCGAATTAAACATTATCGATACATATACATGACATATGTAAAAATAGTTTAGTGATCTAGATCTAATAATTTCTTATTTTATACGGTGCCGGCATACAGTTTTATCGATATGTTTTGTTGTACATCATACAAATAATTCTCTTGATTTATGTGAAAAGTCTTGCGATTTTGAACGCTATACTCGATTCCTAAGCTATTCTTGAAAACCCACAAGCTAGAACTATACAGCGACCTGAACACGAGAGAAAAGGCGCAAAGTATGCGAAAAGTACTTTACTCCAAGGTTCATTTTTGTACAGAAAAACATGGGTATTTATAGATGTTAACATTTGTTAAATCAACATCATATTTTGGCCAATCCGCTAAAAGACATATTATGCTACTGACCAATAGTAACACGCCACGTTGGCATTCTAGAAAGCTCCATCGTGCTCTGATTGGCTAAGACTCTTTGGCTCCTTCAGGGCCTCTGTAGGCTCTGTTGCAGTTCTAGGAAAGCCGACTTAACATTATAAGTTATCAATAAATTTACATAATAAATAAGAATTATTTACGAAGTCTTTGACTAGTGATACATATTTAAAATTTTAAGCGGGACATAGATTTTGCAGAGAGCTTTTCTTCCAGATTTCTGTTAAAGAATAAACATTACCTTCATCATTAATTACTTTAACAGTAGAATTAAGACTTTCATTACTGCCTAATTAATAGTTGTTGATTACTTCACTTAGTGACCGTACATAAAGTCCGTTCATAAATGATTTATATCAGTGTTACTGTTGCTACCTAGATTTTGTTATCAAACTTACTTGACTTTCATGAATATAAAACGTTTCATTATTTCACTTTGAGATAGTGGAGAAGATTCGTAGTTCAGGTGGATGATTTTAATGAACTTTCGTTCGCAGAGCTGGATGATTTGGTCGTAGCAGATTAAAGGTCATCAAAAAACAATCAAGATTGAAGTCTATAGGACAAGCTGTGAAATTCGAATACTTCACTTCTATCTGAATTTTGTGCTGGTGATGTTCAAAAGAACAATGAAAACTCCACGATCAAATCATCCAGATCACCGAACAAAACTCCACTAAAATCTATTTCACTTGCTGAGTTCTCCATTTTTATTACTATGGATGAAAATCGAATGCATTTTTACAAACAGAATATATATTTTTTCTCTCTTACGATATCATTTATTCAAGGATTACATTTATGTTATTAAAAGAGAGGCATTCCAGACGAAAGTACAGTTATTTATTTCGTTTAGTAAACTAAAGTAAAGATCATGTGATAATTTGAAAATTTTTCGGAATTAGATTGAATGTAGGCCGGTTTATTAATTGTGAGCTGGATGTTAACGGAACTACTTTGAAAAAGGAAGCAATGAAAAAATTGTACGAACTATGTTAAGACTGTAATACTAATGATTTGTGTATCTAAATTATTTAGAATTAAATTTCTATTCATTACATTGATAACTGTTCTCATTTTTACATAACATAAATAAAATACATCATTCTTTCTTTTAAATTTCATTATTTTGTCTACAGAAAAAACAGTTCATCAGCTTCGTCAACTTCTTGCAGAATTTACTCTGCCAAAATTTTATGAAGTGTTTGGCATACAACATGTTAAATGTGCACCTATTAGCGCATTTCCACATTTTCGTCCAGGTGAACGATCTGGTTTAATAATTGGATCAACTGGACCTAATAATTCATCTCATACAGGCTCTGTGGCGTTAAATATTCCACCGCTTACCGGACATATTGGAGTTATGTCAAATCTACATCATAGTCAAGGGAGTAGTAGCAGTATTAGTAGTAATTGTAGCGGTGGTACATGTACATCAATCTCAGTTGATGGTGTAGATTTAATCAGTGCTAAAAAAGATACAAGTTTACAAAGTTCTGAATTGAAAAAACCAGAATTCACTCGAAATGCTCATCCAGTTTTAGTAATGATTAGTGATAATTGTGAAGAGACAAACCTTTATCAGAGAATAATACCAACATCTATTGAAACATCTCAACGTGCTAGACAAATTAATGATTCCTTAGACAATTATGAACGAAATACATATAATCATCCTCACCAAAAACAACATTCGTTTTCAACTGACATGTTCAATTTAAATCCAGGAAATAAAACTAATTCCAGTTTCTCTGATAATTATTCATTAAGATTAAATCAAACAGGTCAATTTCTTGTATCGCATTTATTTAATCCTTGTACAAGCGTACCATCATCATCATATTTACCAAATCACGCGATATCACAATTATCTATATCTTTAGATAGTTTAGATAATAAACCCGAACGTTTATCTTTGAGTTCATTGGAATTTCTTACTGATACATTATTAGAAATTATGAGTTTAGTTATTAAAGAAGTGCCGAAATTTACTCATTGGCTTGATCAGTGGACACAATTAGCACGAAAGTAATTAGTTCTTTGTTGTTGCTCTTTTTTTTAAAAATGCACTAAAATGTTTCTATTATTTAATTATTTTAAACCATTTTTTGTATGCATTTACATAGATGAAAAAAGTTATCAAAGATCATGTATACTGATACATTAACCAGAACATCTAAAATAAACTTTCTGATTCATTTGTCGAAAATTAATAAAACTTTTAAAGTAATTAGCGTGAAATAAGAGGATATTTATCCCCTATAGATAAAGCCATTTATTACAATGAGATAAGGTAAAGATCATGAACGGGAATTGACTGAAGAAATCTCAGGGGTTACATTATCTAAGATTACTGCCTCTGTCAAGCATTGTAGCTTAAAAAAATGTATAATATTTACCTCCAAATATTCCAAATTGACCTCTGACTATTTTAGTTACCTTTGCTGTTCTGACAATCAACTGTATTCCCTCATTAATGTACCTCCTGACGTCTAATGCATTGATTTATTACACTAATAATATTTCAAATCTTACCTAATTCCTATTACTTTTTAGGCACTCATCTTATCAGTGTCTACATCATTAATTCTAGCTGAATAAATTGTCAATTAAGAAAACATTTACATGACTATCGATTCTCACATAAGCTCTAACCACTTTTTTCATTAAATTAAGTATTATAAAACTATATATGTCGTTATTAATCTAATTTAGCAAATACTTTTCTCATAATCGTTTTGTACCATAGATTCGCTTTTCAACATAATCCAGCCTTACAACCTCGTGCTATCATTGTGCTTGGATGTATTTGTAAACGTTTTACTGATACGGACATTAAACAATTATTACGTATAATGTCTAGAGCATTAGCGTCATATGCAAATGAATTAAACATGGAAAAAGATCTACGACATAAAACTGTAAATACTGGGCAAGCAGGTTTGTTTGTTTGTAATATATTCCTATCAAAATTGTTTACTACATTCTTTTTATGCATTACTTATAAGCTTATCTTGTTATGTATGATTAAAAGCATCGAATGATTGCATTTTATGCTTATTGGACTCAGTATATTTGCTAAGAATCGATTTCAATAAAAAACCACTGAACGACAAATTTTCAGTCGTTTTCTAGCTGTCTTCAGTCACTTATAAAAACATTCTCTGCAATGAAACAAATTTCCACAAAAGCTAGATCGGGAAAACCTGCTGATAGGTTCCAGAAAGTCATCACTGTGATCACGAAACTAAGCATTTTTGATATAATCTACAACATTTTCGTTCGCTAAATTAGATACTAGCCAATTTTTTAAAACTTTTATTTCGTGCTCAATTCCCTTAATATCAATTAGCATTTTATCATAGATACTTTCTGAATAGTGTATAAATGTAGTGTGCTTTGCCTCTTTTTATAATTTTTAATAGAACTCTACCTCATTGAAGCAATAATTATTTGCTTAACAAGGCTGTTACCTCTACTACCATCAGATTCGGAAACACATCAACCACTATTTTGGATTGCATTAGGTATTCTACAATTAGATGAAGTTTCTTTGTATGCGGCTGGATTAGCTTTACTTGAACAAAACTTATTAACATTAGATCAGAATGGAACATTTGAACGTGATGTAAGTGATATTTCTATCATATATATAATTAATTTTTTCAACCATTGAAGTTGCAAATTCTAAAAAATATCAGTTTCACTAACAAATAATGTACAGTGTTTGAAGTAATTTGCATTACGGCGTGATAAAACATGAAATTTTTTCCGTGATTATCAGAAATTTATTTGTATGTGGTAGGTTGTACTTGGGGATGCATTTAAGACATGCTTGTCTTCATTCTTCTTGATTAACTTGTAAATATTCTTTTTAATATTCCTGAGTTTATATTCTAAAATCTTGTAAAATTGTCGGTAGTCGAAATTAAACCTGAACCTAAGTTTAGCGCTATTTGGCACTAGTCAAAAATATCTCTCTGCAATCTTGAAGGAACTGGAGCCTTCTGATGGATGTAGTCCCATCTGACTGGTCTTCACAGTTTGTGACACTACCACTAGGCAATTGTGGTGGAGTTTTATTCTATGAGCTAGATGGTTTGGTCGTGAAGCTTTCATTGTTCTTCTGAACGACATAACCAGCACAAACTTCAGGTAAAAGTGAAGTAGTCGACTTTCTCCACATATGGCTCACAGCTTGTCCTGCAGACCTCGATCTCACTAAGCGATTGGTTTGCATTTTACAACCGCTCATGTGAATTATCATTTAGGACCAAATGTCATATTTAAAAGTATTTTAAACTCATTAAAATGAGGATTTCTATATTTTAGTTTAGTCACATTCAAACTTAGTCAGACGATCAAACAACATATTTTTCTTGTTTTAACTTCTTTTAAATTTTGTCACTCAGAATGATTGTTATGTGTAATATACATGTGTGATACTAAACAATATCTCTTCCAATTTATATTCTATCAATTATGCTGTATGCTGTAGACAGTAATAAATTTAAGATATTGTTTAATTATTACATTTGAGTTAACTAGTGATACTACATGAAAAGTGTGCGTAATCTTTGATTATATGTGAAATTTTTCATTCACCTCTAGTTTATGAGATATTTCAGTTAAATAAACTAACTAATGTTGTTAGATTAGAGATAGGCAGTGGTTATTGTAACTCAGTAGTAGCCTACTAAATAGTGAAATTGTCTCTGAACTTATATACACTGTATTGAAGTTTCGATTGGAACATTAACCTAAGAAATAGGTTATAAAAATGCCTTGAATACGATTATATCTAATTTCACTACCGAACACATCGCCATTTAAATCTGTTAAGATACACCCATATTTAAACATTTTGATGAATAATTATTTTAAAAATTTCGTTATAACCCTATGAACTTTCCTGTTTGTCTTTTGTTTGTTTTCTTTGTTGTCGTTATCTTCGTGTTAGTCATTAAGTAGTATTATGATGCGATGTAGAGAACAATTTATTCTACAATATAAACAAATGGATCATGCTGTTGGTCTTAGTTTTCGTGATAGCTTTCATTTCGCATTAGTCGGTCATCTATTGAAAGGGTTTCGTCATCCTGATGTAAAAACTGTTGCTAGAACTATACGTGTATTGAATCTACTATTGAGTATTACTGCAAAACCAATTAATCGGTAAGTCATGAGTAATAACTATTAAATTAAAATAATTATTTAGAAGATAGACTATGCAATTAAATTGTTGTATTCACATGTTAACTTTATAATTAGTATGTAAAACTTTCTTCGGAAACTAATGCACTAAAGATAACGTTTAGACGTAGATGTAGAAAGCGTATTTCATGAAAACTCAGGCTTTGGAAACTGTACAACTATAAGAAGTCGTGACTCCATGAAAATATAAGTAATACGTCTTTTAGACTAATTAGTCATGCAGAGCTACAAAGAAAATCTAGCATACTTAATATATAGCATTTAGTCCGTTTCTGTACGTAGAGTTATTACCGAGTGAATGTAATAATCAAAGTATATCCCTATAGCAATATTCACTAAGTGACTTCATACACAACTGCATTTATCAACTCAATACAATAACAAAACTAGTAGCTATACTTGATTGTTTATGTAGCTAACCAAATAGTAATATTCGCTATTTTTATTTTTAGACATGGGTTAGCAGACTGTATGTATGAAGCATCTCTTGAACAAACTGGATTCTCGATTGCTCACTTTGTTTCTTTATAGCCACATAACAACAGATTTCTTAGTTTACGCAAAATGTAAATATATGTTGGTAAAGTGAATAATTAATTGATTGATATTTCAAATAGTGAACTTATGAATAAATACGTAATTTTAATGATAAACAGTTTACAAAACTTCACAGTACTTATTAACTTTATAATTTAGAATACTAGTGCATAAACAAAAAAAAACAACCATTTTTTGGCATATTTTTAAATTGACTAAACATTATAAATATAGTTGTCAACAAAATAAACTCATTTAGTTTTGAATACCGTAAAAATCACATTCACTTACCTCTATGGAGCAAGTTAGTAAAAATATTATTATCAGATGGAACTAAGTTGTATAAAATAGTAGAGTTCCATTCTAATCTCTTATTCAGACTCCATTTTTTCTTTACTTTATGAGCGTACGAAAGTAGAAGTGAATCTGTTAGTGATCAACAACAAAAAACGTTTTTATTGCAAATTATTAACCATTCTCTACATAAAAGTGATTTAATATATCATTTTTAACAGCTCTCTAATGTTCAAGTGATGTGTACATAGTTCACGTCTGTAAGTAAACATTAATATTAGGATGCAGATAATCCGATCCAAATTCAGTCTTAAATTTCACTAACTAATGTCCAAAGCAAAGCGTCTGTTCAAGGAGTCCTATACTTCAATAGGAAACTGCTGAAATTCACTCCTAAATATTGATAACAGTAAAAATGTAAATGTTTGAAGTTGATGAAGAAGTATCCTTAATATCAAATTAGATTAATCTGCTTCAATAATTTTGTCCTTTTACTTTCGACACTGGAAGTAAATCTAATATTACACTTGTTTGACGTAAGCCCCGAGCTTTGATTAACCGGTCAATCAGTTCTCTTTAACAATCTTCGTTGCTCACCCAATACCATCGTCATATATTTATATTTAAGTAAATTATTTGATAACATCTAAATATATATGTATTTTGTTTTCATTATAAAACTTTATTTAATTACTGATTTATCAAATTTACAGTGATAAATATCAAGTTAGTCACGAAAGTATAGCTTATCTAACAGCCCTGCTACCAGTATCAGAAGAAGTACGTAAGCGATGTCGATTGAAATTTCGTATACCTGGTACACTTGTTGGTACAAATGAACAAGAATTAAATAAAAATTGTAATAATAATAATAACAATAATACCACAATGATAACAAAGAATGCTTCCTCTTTCACAAATGCAACAATATACTCAACTAATCATAATGATTGGGGTGGATCTAATGAAAGTTTACTTGATACGTTATCATCACCTCAACAGTCGAATTCACGCGGTCATAATTCAGTTAGTCTCATTAAATCATTATTGCCAAATAATTCTAATCAGAAAATTAATCGCCCACGATTTGAGTCAAATTATACAAGTAATTTATTGTCATCAGACACTACAACTCAACAACTGATTCGTTTATCCAATGATCGTCAGATAACAACTAATACGATATCAGAGATGGTAAGATTCCTTGTTCATTAAATTATGAATTTCCGATAACTCAGTTTGTATTATTTCTCTTTGTTTCTCATGAATAAGTTTGATTAATGCTTTGTGTAATTTCTCTTCATGAAAATTATGCAATCGAAAATAAGAAATAAAAGAAATGAAATTAATTTAGTGTTTGGGATGCACTAAAGTTTATTTTATATAACTCAATGTGTTTGTTATGTGTAATTTATAAAATGCACTTACTCAAATCACGTTAGTATCTATGCTTATATTATAAGCAAAGATGAATTGTGGCTAATAATGGAATCTAGGACCCTCTTTTCGTCCTATTTGAGACTCTTCAGCCGGACGTACCTGCGTCCCAGAGTTCATGTTCTCTCCGAGACTCAAACTCAGCACTGTTTACTTCAAACACCATCGCGTTGTTCACTTAGCTGCTGAGTCCAGAGAGCCACTCGTGATTTATGTCAATATCGAGGCAATCCGAATAGGAAGTACATATGTCAATAATAGGCTAATCAATTGCAGTCGTAAAAATTGACGGGAAGATTCAAACAAACTCATGAAACTATTTTATTCGTTCAATATTCCGGAATTCCTAACAGATATAAGTTTATCTAAAAGCCACCATTGGTTGTTCGTATAGGTGGTTCAAGAAGTTGTTTTTTTTATTTCAAGTAGTATATCATACTTCAATTTAAAAAGTGTTTAATATCAACTTATATATATGTACACCATTCGATTTTTCACTAGAATCAAGTCCAACAATCATGTCAGCAGTTTCATAAACGTCATGCAATTTTAAGTGCAACAGACAGTTTGCGTTCACGTTCTATTGATGAATGCATGCCAAGTGGTAGTATTAATTCAAACACTGAACAACAATCAGGTAATGTTTTGAGTCAAATCAGAGATGAAACAGTCGATAGTCAGATTATGAATGGAAGTGAATTTGATGATGTTAGTGAGGATAGAAATCAAATTAATCAACGGGAGCAGTTATTACCTAACCCCATTCAAACTGAACAAAAGACATCGACTGGAGTTCTGCTTGATCCAAGTATCCTTACAGACGAAGCAACTCAAGCTTTAACTATTGCTGTACTGGTAAATTTACATGAAATAATTTAATTAATGCATTTTATATTCTATCTGAAATGTTTTATAAATTTTTGAAATTATCATATAGTGACAATTGAAGCTTAGTTTACTGATTGAGCATCGATGAAAAAAAGCAAAGTAATCTCGTTTTAAGCATAAAATATAAAAAGCGGTTAAATTTTTTGTAGGTGTCTTGTTTGACGATCTTCATACATTACTTAATTTTATCAATCATGATATAACTACATTTTATACTATTCAATACTTACATACGAATTGTAAATGATAACAGATCTGCACTTCATCTTACTTTGAGATTATGCAGAATATTACAACAAATATAACACTTATTCCCAGTACCCATTAGTTATTGCTCTACGGATGATTGTTTCGCGTTCCTGGTATCGAGTCAATGCATTTTTAGAATTGGTAACTATTGAGAGTAATTAGCTGTTTTTAGCTCTGGTTGTTTTGTGAAATATAATTATACCCTAATTCTATATCTATAGAACTTATATAAGCTATTCTATACGTGAAATGCCACAGTAGGGACACAATGCCTACATTTGATATTACTTTATTTTAAAATAATGTCAAACTGTAAGTAAAAACTACCTCAATTATCAGAATTATTTGCAAAATTTTAATAAACCTTACCGATAGCCATTTTTTAAGAAAACGGATACTAATGAATACCATTCTTCAATTCAACTTACACTGACAGTATTTAATTATAAAGAATAAGGACGCGATTAGTAATAATGTCTCTTAGTGCAATTGCAGCGATGTAAAAGTGGATTTGAGTTTGTGAGTTAGCTCAAGAGGAAATCAAGGACCTTTGTATGGATATGAAACATTACTTACTAACTTAAGCCTGTTACTCCTCGTGGAGGAGAATAGGCTGCCCACCAGCATTCTACATCCAACTATGTCCTGAGCAATCTTTTCAAGTTGTTTCCAGTTGCTACTCATCCTTTTCATGTCTGCTGCCAGTTTCCGGCTCAGTGTGTTCTTTGGCCTTCCTTTTTTCCGTCTCCGTTCAGGATTCCAAGTTAGTGCCTACATCGTGAGTTAGATGAGTTCCGCAATGTATATCCTATCCACTTCCGTCTTTTCTTAATTTCCTCTTCATCTGGAAGCTGGTTTGTCCTCCCCCACAGAATAGTGTTGCTGATGGTATCCTACCAATGAACATTAAGCATCTTGCGTAGACAATTGTTTATCAATACTCGTACTTTTTCATGATGATTGTAGTAGTTCTCCACGTTTAAGCTCCGTACAGTGGGACTATCTTGACGTCCGTATTGAAGATTTTGACTATATATCGGTTGACAGTATATGACATTACAACCATTTAAATATCACCGTTTATATATTGAATCTTAACAAAAATAACTTGTTTGGTCATTTTATATTGATATGAATTAATTATTAACGTCCCTTTACTATATCGAACATGATATTGGCGTTTTTCAATCATTTAGGCATGAAATTCCGTTGATTGTGATAATTAATCAGTGACATTCGTGCAAACAGCTTGCCTATGATTTATGTATAAGGGTATGTAAAAGCATCGCAATTCCCACCAAATTGAATATTTCTACTTCCAAAAAATATCAGTGGTAGAGAAAGGATTAGTAGTTCATTAGATATATGAATCTTTTACTTCATAGTTTATTGTCGCGTTTAGCTTCTTGTTTAAATATCTGGGCTACCTGTTCATTTCATCTAAATATTTCAAAAAGTTATCTGATTTTTGTTTGTTTCAACACATCATTATGTTCATTAATCACATAACCCGTTCAGTCGCGCTTATGAAAAGTTTACGAACTTTCACCATACAACTTACAAAAAAGTATAATTAGAGACATCTTGGTAGCTGGCATTATACATTGAAAAGAATGAAAATTAATCAGATTGTTTCCTGAACTACTAACAGCTAACCGATGATCACTAATTGGCAAAATGGACTGTCTTCAGTTCCTACTAAGTCTAAACGTATATCGTAATTGTGGTGTGACCACAATTCAAGAATCCTGATTAAATGATTTACATGACGATTGTTTAATATCACAACAAGATTTCAATATTAATCGTCAGGATTGATCAAGTAATAAGAAAAGGAAACTTGTTAAAATACTTTGTGCTGAGAATTCTATATCGTATCAATAATATAATATTGAATAAAGCGATTAATAATGATAATCATAATTAGTTCCAAAAGATTTTCGAGTTATTGATTGTTTGAGCTGTATCTCTCAATGAGTCAATAAAACTGATAAACTAATTGCCATAAAATTTATTTTAAAAATTACTAAAAGGATATAATGTGAACAAGAGTCAAAGTGACCAGTGTTGCCTGTTAATAACAATCTGAGTTACTGTACACACACACACACACACCAGAGTGAAATTTATTTTATTTTAACCTGTAACCAACAGTTTATAAATACAAACAGATTTTGACAATGATAAAACATATAAACCATGGAAATTAACGTTGTTTTTCATGATTTTGTTATGGCTAGTTATATCAAGTGACTTGAATGAATTCAATTAATATTAGTCAACTGTCACGATTTTTTTCTATTTTCAACTATAAGACTACTTTGGTACGTTATACCACTGATGAGAATGAGTCAAGAGTACTATATGAATTTTTAGCAGACGCTTCTATGGTTTTTCCTCGCGTATTTCCTGTCATGTAAGTAGAACCATCTTACTAAAATAGTATAATGCTCTTTAAAATCTAATAACGGACCCAAATTTTCTTTAAATAAAACAATGTTTTTACCATATTTATGTACAATGCTGTATGCGATCGAAAACCATGTACGTGTGAGTTAACAAATCAACAATACCCAAAAATAATCGATTGAAAATTCTTTTAACTCAATTTCTGGCCACATTTTCTAGAGATAATGCAAAATGTTTGCACTATAGATATAAATGCAATTTATACAATGTGTGGATAATTTTGACTTTATTCTTTTCTACAAGGAAATTCACTGAATGGAATCCAAAACAGTTTAAGAGAATCGACAGCTGAATTATGCGAGCTAGAGAAAAACTTGCTATCAGTTATCACTCGATCATTCAAATTAATAAGACTCATATTTACCCAAATCATTTATGAAGAACCACATACTCCAGTCAGAGACCAGTTTACAAACAGCCGTAAAAATAAAGCTTAAATATAATGTTAGTCTCTTATTTGGACTAAAAAACGACAATATCATTCTTCCACAGTTTACCTATGCTAATTGGTCTGTCGGTTATTATTTGTAATCATTTGGCTCAATCGGTTACGCATAATTCTCAAAATTTAATGAAATGGTAGTTTTTTAAGAAATGCATTTTAAATTGAAACATAGTCAAAATTGTTTATGTTCCTTTCAGTAATACATCCTATTAGTTACATAACTATACAAAATAGTATTACAGCGTGGTCAATGTATTTGATTCCAAGCTATATTGTGATGATGACTCAAGCCATTGCGTTTTATATTCCTTAGGATTTCATTCAGATGGCTCAAAAATTCTATTCAAATACAAGTAATCTTCATTCTGCAGAGCTTGGTCATAAACTGACTACCTCTCTTTGTTTCGGCCACACCAAATGATATTTAATACAAGGTATTCCGTATATCAGGCATGCACTTGTTCACGAGATAAAAGAAAGCTATTTAAAGTGACGTTCTTCATAAATTGGTGTGTAAATGCAAAGACGGAATATGCCCTATTATATATACATATATACTTCATATTCTTATTATTATATCTGTGAATACGTGTATTTCAGTAGACCAACATTTTTCTTAATACCCTCCTTCAAACTTTTTTAAGGTATACATGAAGATATATAACAGTCAAAGGTTGGTAGATACACATGTTTGCTCAGATTTTTTTCATACATTGAAACATTTGTATTGGCCCTACTTCTAACGAAAGTGATCTAAGAACTCTAGATTAATATACTTTATGGGCAATAATAATTTCGACAAGATCCTTAGTGTTCCTTGTATTCAGCATTCATATGGATATTAAAACAACCATACTTTATTTTTCAAGCCGTCAAATTTCAATAACTGAGGTATATGAGCTGATCATTTTACAGAGTAATATACTAGATAGTTTGTCTCTAATCAGTTGAAATATATAGATTGTTACTCGGTGATGCAATCTACATCCGAGTGCCTACAACGTCATTTCTTCTATTTCCATAGCCTATGTATCATATGGATTAAGTTTACTAAAATAGATTTATGCACAGTATAAAGAAAGGTAAATAAGCGTTCGTGCACAACGCTTCCTAACATAACATATAGTCATACCCGCGTGAAAGTTCCATACTTGAGATCTTTTATGATACCAATCTCACTAACTCTGATACAATTTATAAAATAGTGAGAAAAAAATTCTATAGATGATAAATTTCTTCTAATTACATACCAATTACCCACTTGAAAGTAAATCATTATTACTATTTCTATAAAACGAAAACACTTTCTATTCACTTCTTTTTTTGTTGTTTACTTAAATAAAATATTTCATAAAGACATAGTTTGTTGGATTCAAAAATTAATTATGTTCTAACACATTGTCATGATCAAAAAATTTTAAGTGCTGTTCAAAGTATTATACAGAATATGATTGGTAATGGTGAAACGTCTGTACAACAATTACACTATTTACAAAGTAAGTTATCTTCATTGTGTGTTTCTATTCTATTCTACATACATTTGTTTGTCATGAAAGTATCTTTTTTGAAAAAAAAAGATACAATCTTATTTGTTATATGCATTGAGTAAGTTTAATTCCAAACAGAAATCTTGATTAGCTATAAGAATCTTTCTCCATGTTGTTTATTATCTCAAAAAAGAGGGATGTGGGCCATTGAGAAAATTGTGTTACATTGTTGTCTCATTATAATTGGCTGTTTTCATAAGACAAAATGTTTCAATTATACTATTTCATCTTTGCTCATCTAGATATTATTGTAAAGCGATTAGTTTATTAAAACATAATGAGATTTTCTGTGTGTTTTTAGTAGTATTGATGCTTAAGTTATCGAATTGACATGTTTCACCGATATTTTTTTAAAAAGGTTACGGAAAACTAAAGCTATTTACTTTAAATTTTTTTTAAACTAAACATTTTTCTTTTTGTTTGTACTTAACTTTGTTTCTACTCCAGTTATATTTCATCTGCTTTATTAATGTAATGGGAGATAGGACTAAACCCTTCATTGTAGTTTAAATCCACATCTCAGTTGCGATTCTTTGAAGATTTGCTAATCTTAAATTTTTAATACAGTGCTTTTTGTTAAGATTAAAAAAATTGTGTTGATTTAACGAAGAGTGGTAACTAATGCCATATTCTTTATTTTTAGTACTAGCTGAATTCTATCAGTCAAATTGTAATATGGTTACTAGTTCAAGTAAGTTGATATTATAGTGCATTATATTTAGGTATTAGGTAATGGAAGGCAATTGAGGCGAGACAATAATTTATGGACGACCTTTGAAAGAATCTTAAGTGACCTTGAAGAATATTAGCCAATCAGAGGACAGTTAGTATAAAGTAAAAATATATTATAAAAAACCAAAGAATTTAAAAGTATATACTTCGTTTACATGATTCAAAAACTTATCAAGGTTTATAGGAGGTTCTGAAATCGTAGTGCATACGGTAGAGGAACTCATCCATATGGCTCCATAATAGTCGATTTCTCGAGCCATGATCGAGTCGAAGAAACTCTTTTAGCCTCGACCACATGGCTTCAATATTGTTAGTGTGCACTCCTGTTGTAGAGTCCACAAAATGGCGCTTGTGGACAACGACAAGATACATATAACCACGTCTATGCAGGCGTCGATAGGCTCATCAATCATCCGTATATATTATAGTACCCGGCTGCATGTATTCCCGTATGATTGGTATTATTGTCGTTGCTTGTCGGTTTCTGACCCTTTGGAAGTGTCCCTTTTGGGTTGATCTGTCGTAAACTCCAAGTACCTGTGAGGTACTACGTCCTCTGTTAAATTTTTGCCTCCTCACTACTATTTCAACGATTCTCCCATCTCCTCCAAACGACTCGTGTAAACTTATCATTTTTATTACACATATATCTTTACAGTACTCATACTACTGAACAGCTAAAGCTTTAATAACGTCTGTAAATGTTGGAGCCAATGTTACTGGTGATTTTATCATCCGGTTTCCAACAATTATCATGATTTGTCTTAGTCTCAATCGGGATCGAGCGAAGAAAGTTCCTGTTTGAGCACACTTCTTCCTCCGACATAAATAACATTGAACGACAATCTCTTCACGGTAGTATGCACACGGTACAGCAGTCATTTGTTTACCACAATTACAAATAAAGGAACTTCTTATAGTTCCATTTGTTTTAGTCGCTCAATTATCACGTCTTCTCTAAACCGATCGTACATGCGTATCAGGTACTGAAGTTGGTGCCGTAACCTTGAAATCCCTCAAACAACTTCCGATTGGCTCCTCCATAAATTATAGTTTCGCCTCAATCGACAGAAACCTTGAAATTAGGTTTTTAAGGGTTGTACCTATCACTAAGTTGTATCTACAATCTCTAAAATGATGGAACCAAACTCACTTAATGTCACGGCCAGAGGCGTGATTACTGAGTTATTCAGTTTGCCAACACTTGCTATTTAGTATGAGGTCTAGATCCAGGACAGATTTATCCACATCATTAGTATTTTACGAACCACTTGTTATCGACAGTTGAATAAAAATATGTAGATAATGATGTGTCTGTGTAAAGATTTTATACGGAATGAATGCAAATTAATATCATCTGAAGAACAATTGAAAAAAGAACGAGCCAATCTAAGCAAGAGATTGAGGCTATAATCTTTGGATCTTCTGGTGAATAAGATTCAGTTTAACCACTAATATCAACTATACTCACTATCTATTTCAGTCAACTTTAAATACACTTCATTCTTCATTCAGTGTATTCAGTAAAGTAATGTCTTTGTCTCCATCGAATTGAATACGCAGATCATGACATCGAGTTCCAGAAAATTCATAAAAATCTGGTTAGTAGTTAACACATTATTATTCACTGAACTGATTGCGTGATTTTATAGAAATGGGAAATAGTTTCCATTAGGGAATCGGACAAAACAGTTTTCTAATTTTCTTGATTCCCAAGTACTATGTACATATGTGTTCATACTGGATATATTGACTCAGAGTAAATTAACGAACTATTCCATGGTGTATTTTCTTTTGAATTAGTGTTACGTTTTTAAACAGGCCATTCAAAGTTATTACTTTCTAAACTCATATTCCATTCTATTTTCCCTACTGGAGAATTTTCTAGACTTTTTCACACAGCAATTTAATTATATTACATTTATATATATATATATATATATATATATATATATATATATATATATATATATATATATATATATATACCAGGCCTGATTTATGCATTCCAAAACGATTTTACACGAAGCTTCATTTAATTTCGGTCAAAAATAATTAATTTATCCCTATTAATTTTGTAAATTAGTATGTTCATTTTTTCCATTATTGACCTTTTCTTAACATTATTCGACAGAACAGTTTTCTTTCATCTATCATCCATTTTTCTCCAACTGTTTCATACCATTCTTCAGACAATTGTATAACTTGTCTAAATACTTGAAAACACAGTTGATCTTACTTTTAGACGATTCAACATTTATCTCTTAGATTACAGACTTAAGTGTGCTAGATAATCATAAATACCGTTGTGCAGCAAGTGAGAATTTTCTTTACTGTTGCTGTTTCAAATTGCTTTTTTTTTTACCTCAAATTGTATATTTTCACTTTGCATTCCAAGGTATCGGTTTTGGTGGTCTATGGAGATTTTCCGGGCACTTTTCTAAAGTATGTTTATTAATTAGTTCATCTGATATTTATTCATAGATAATTGTCTTTCATTTGTAAACTGTTTTATCCACTTCAAAAATAATAAGTTTTGTTCATGATACTATAAATCTTATTTTATTTCGGAGCACATATTGAGTAAACAAAAAAAGGCGACTATTGTTTCTCTACCATCACTATTGGTAAATTGATTGAGTTACAATTTAAATGGTTTATATTGTTAAATCGATGTAGTAGAAGATTTATTATAACAGTAATTTTCAATCTAACCCCATTCATATCCAAACACTGAATTAAACTATAATAACTGTTAAATACATTCTATGTTGTAAATATTATTGTTAACTTACTCAATATTTCTTAGATTGACAGAGTTTAGTCATTCTAAAAGCACAAATGAAATGCCTTAACATTGATCATGATAACTCTATACATTCACATTATTTGACTTCGGATAAGCGATTATAATAGTGATATGATTGATGGTTCAAAGTAACTCTCACTCGCACGAGTATACTACGATAATACGTTAATACTGTAATAAGACTAGTCACATTATGTCAGATTCAAGATTCACGACCCAGAATAGAGAATGAGAGAACAGACTAGACAATACTTTATTGAATACAATAACAAACAATCAGTCTCAGTTAGTCCGGACCAGAAATCAATGAGAAAAAAGGAAATCACATATTAGGTACTCACTGGGTTATCTCTCGCGATCCACACTAAGTGGTCTACCACATTTCACATTCACTTTCACACACCAATTAGTTTCGGCAACATTAACCATTAGTATCGTTATACAACTATTACTTGCTTCTGAGTTACTTCACTGTGTGGAAACATACTATTTTTCTATTGTATAAGAATTTCACATCAATAAAATCAGTCACTTGATAAATCTCATATTGATTGGTTTTGAGATTACAGATTAACATCATTAATTCCATAACAAACTAAATCTCAAGCAGGATTCATCAAAGTTGTTTACTAGCTGTATTTCTTTTCTAATTTCATTTCAGGCAAATCAGAACGCTGATACTGCTCAGTTATTTGTGAACTTTCTTGAAGTCCTAATTGATTCACATTTACCAGGAGAAGATTTAAGGACTTCGTATACACCAGTTTTAGGCTTAGGAAATACAGGTCGAGCTAGTAATCTCTCAAGTGATTCCTCCTTAAGTTTATCTAGTGTGCATGGCCCTATAAATGAAGTATCAACTGTTTCTGTCACTTCTTCCATTACATCTGCTGTAACTACTGCAACTACTAATGTAGACCCATCCGTAAACAGTGAAGATAGAGATGGACCTAGTTCAATATCACCGATTACTTTGGTCAATGTTCCATGTGTTCTATCAAATAATGATTCTGAAGAACTAAAAACAAATTTCTCTACTAATGGCTCAACATCAAAAGATCAACAAGATTTAGATTCTAATTATTTCTCTCCTAGAGGAAGATCTGGGTCAAATGTCAGTGGTTTTGAGCACATAATAAAGGTAAGCATATTTTCTAGCACGATTCACTCTTGATCTTCTGAACCTCGAATATAGTCTATAAATTGTTACAAATATATTAAATTTGATATAATAGGACTTTTTGTCTCACCTTGTCTACCACTTTTTGATTTACGCAATTAAATCAATCAGTCTATCTTGAAAGTAATAACTCTGGTACAGTACATGGTGGCTGTTAAAAGTAGGTTTATGGTAAGAAATTCAAATGAAATTAACTAAAAAAATCCTAAAACAGACATGTTCTGTATTCTACTACTAGTTACGAATAAATACTACCGTAAATTGTAACTGCTTACATATATTTATTTCAATATTTTATAAAAATGGGTGGAATAAAATTAAAATCGTACTCATCATTCACAAATGTATATTGTGACTATGCCGAATGATCTTTTTCCTTGACTCCCTTTTAAATTATATGAATCGAACTGTATGGTGTTGAAAATGATGATTAATGCTAGAAAAATACTTCAAGGTATTTGCTTCTATCAACTACTTGAACATTTCCATGTTTTTCCTTTACAAGAAAGAATCGAAGAAATTTCTGCCTAATTGTTCGTCTATTTAGTATTTCCAGTGTTTTTCTGAAGACGATATTTATATTTAAAAGTCACCATCCACATATATAAAATAAACTTTTATCTAAATTGATGTAAATCAATGATGACAAATGTTGAGCATCAACAAAAAATCTCCACACTGCTCAATAGACGCAGCAAAATTAAAAGGTTTTCGTAGTATATGTAAATATTAGATACAGATGTATTAATTAACGGTAATTTGATGACTGAATAGTTTCTGATTTCATATTGTCGAATCCTTCGTGTTGAATGAATTTAATCAATGCAATTTTCAATTTAGTCATTGGTCTACATGACTAGAAATCACAGTGCATTCTGTCCTAACATTAAATGTTTGGAGAGAGTTAGAATGAAGTTCTGTCTAATTTAAATTTTAATGCTTTTATTGGACATCACTTTTTCAAAAAATGAAAGTGATCGCGAGCAGATATTTACTAACATAATTTCGGCGATTATATCATCTACTGGAGCTGATAACTTTTACACACTGAAACTTTTTCTCTTACATTTATTAACATAACAATAATACAATTAGTTGATTGTAAATAATAATTTTTAACATTTATCATGAGCGAACGTGTACGTTGAATCATAACATGAAATATTTGTCGCTCATACTTTTAAGCTGTTGTCATGAACTAAATAGATATTAACTATTTGATGAAATATCCAATCAAAAGATTTTGATTTTCGATTTTAAAGAAGCACTTAACATCCAATTGATCAGGGAATACTAGTGAAAATATATGAGTTGTCGTGTAAATGCTCATTTGATATTGATAGTTATGACTTCGTGCATAATTACTTAAACATTTACGAATAATCAAAACGTAAGCCTAGAAAACGATATAACCTCAATGCATAGAACGTTTTTTAAATATTTATTTATTACTGTTAATTTGAAAAATCTAATTAGACCAAATATGAATTTCTTTTACAGCGTAAGGAATTTATGTATATTCGAATAGTTTGTGTTTATATATGTGATTTGTTTGTTAAATGTCCATAAGGTATTATAATATTTTGTTATTTTTGTTCACCAGTAAACTGATAAATTCTACTTGTATTTATATAATTCTCTTTTTAGTAAACCTTCTGGATAGATAATAAACAGATTTCCTCAATTAATTGTAATATAATACTTACTTTGTAGACACAGCATATTCATTTAATTGACTTTAATTACTCATTCACTTATAATTACTGATATTAAATAAAAGACAAATGAACACGAATCATTTTTTTTCATGATGCTAAATATTGATTAAAAGCAAAAGAAAGTTTGTTTACAAAAGAAAAAAGTACTCATTCCTTTTTTCTTTTCCTTCATACTCTCTCTTTATCTCTTTACTTTCTCTACTCGTGAATAAGTAATTGATCATTTTATCTACTATATGTATAATTGAATAGATTTCAACATAGAACTATATGAATTTCTGACCAAATTACTTTTATTTGTTCATCAGAGTTTATCTAGTAAGATTGAAAATTTTATTTATGGATTATTTTTTTCTGATTGATTATTTTCAAAGAAAAAAAATTCCCAACCATGTATTATTTATTTTAATACATCCGAGTGAATTTTAAATTCATTTGTTTGAATCTATGACAATTTGTGTAATAATTACCAAAAATTACATTTTTAAACCTTATTATCATCAACTTTTTTTTTGAGGATAAGTTCCATTTGCATTAAAGTCAATTTATGCATTTAACCAATTTATGTGTATAATGTGTTAAAGTATACAAAAATTTCAATGTTTACATTTCTATACACTTTTCCATTAAAAAGAATTGACTTACATTTCGATTTTATTTTTCTTAATTAAAAAATATATGATAAATATATAATCATTAAAAAAAATTTTTCAATCGCTCTATTCCTGACAACAGTAAAAAACTTTTTTTGTGTGTAATAGAACATTTTTTTAAAAAACTAAATTAATCTACATTACCATTGTGCTTTCGTTTGTTGTCATCATTTGTCTTTTTATTTTCAGACCTTTTCACTCATCAATCAAATTATAGTGTATTTGTTTTCTAACTTATGTTGTTTTCTTTTCTCAGCTCCAAATTTATTTGCTTCTTTTCATTGGTCAAATAAAAAATAATTAACAAATTATCTGTTTTTATTTTCTGTCAATATGTGATGACAATTATAATGACCATTATTATTATTATTACCATTATTATTATTGAACTATATACGCACCCACCCAAACATGAGTAAGAGCAAGGTTCCAATTACTTATTTTTAATCTCTTTTCCAGATTTGCTTATTGTTTAATTTCATATAACTGAAAAATTCTGCATTTCTATATTGATATCTTTATGAGTGTTTGTTTATATTTATAATTGTCTATTTGAATTTCAGAAAGTAATAATCAAAGAAAGACAAAGTCAATGATTTCATTCAACATTTTTCAATGTTTTCGTATTATGAATTACTATAAGTTGTTCTATTTCATTCTGCTTTTCATTGTCTTTAACTTTTGATGTTATTTTCTAGTGTATGTGCCCTGTTTCACTCCTATTATATTACGGGATATCTGTGTGAACCCATGATGAGAATTATGGTGATAATCAAATAACTTTCCATAAAATCAAAATAAAGCATTCAATTAATGACTGCTCTTCAATTTATTAAGTGTTGTAGATTAGTGAAAGTTATCTTTATAGATTTGTTTTTTTATTGGAAATAATTGAACAACTTGGTTAAATTGACAGTTTGGTACATTGTTAAAATCCACATAGAACTTCAGGCTCCTAATAAAGTATTCCTATCCAATAAGATTTAGTTGACTGTGTACCTGAAGCCGATAATAAACAAATTCACTTAAGAGGATTAATTTGAATAAAGTGTAAACCGATCGATGATTACCTTAATACGTTTGTCGCAGTACCTGATTAAAATAGTAAAACTATAATCTATGGATAACCTTCAGGTTACGGCAGATTGACCTTGAAGAAGTTCACCAGCCTTATTATTATATTTTTAGTAACCCATGACATTACGTTTTTTGCTACTTCAATTTATATCAATCACTTTATCGGTAAATAATAAACCAAATCTTTTCAACTAACAATATGAATAATAAATCTTTTCAATAGATTGTTTTCCAAACTTTATAAAAACAATCGCATTAGGCAGCAAAAATAAAAGAGATTCCAATATCACTAATATTTTTTAAGATGTTCATAAACTGTTTCGTAGACAGCGAATGTACAAGCATTAACTACAAATGCTCTAGTGATAACAACATTAAATCCACGAAAAAATATTTTGTAGCTTTTTTCTTTTAATAGTGTATTTAGAACATTTGAAATTGTGATTCCATTACCAACTTGTTGTCTTGTTTTTATTACGTCCTAAAATTGTAAATCAATAATAATGGATTAGTAATTAAGATCTGTGGAGTACTTTCGGTGAGGATTTGTCGAATAAAAAGTTGGGACTTGTACGAAAATAAGGTTTTTCTAAATAAGTGATATCTACCTAGTTCAAAGATGCCTACAACAACTTAAACAAGCTTATCCATAATAATTTAACGGATTAACTGATTTAGAAGCGAGTTCTAATCGACAATTGAATTTGCTTGGGGAACCATTAAAAACAATAGAGCACTGAAAAGTTATTTATTCCTCGTAACTCAGAACTAATTATTCTTGACTCCATACAAGATCAGATGTTAAGCTTTTAGAGCACTGGATTACCAAGACCAGTCAACAGAACCTGGTTTAGAAGAATTTCGTACGTGATGAAAGCTAACTTTAGAGTGTACAATTTTCATAAATGGCTTCCAATAGATATCGTTTCACTTTACAACAAAATATTGAATTGGGATATATAATAAGTCAAATACTATATAATTTGTTGACCAAGATGCCCAAACACATGCTTTATTTAAAAAATACTAATACCTACCGAGAAGTACACTGCTAACCAGTATAAGACTAGATTGGAATAAAACTAGGGGAATCCAAACAACGACTTAGAAGCAGTCCATGAAAACACTGCCCATTGAGATAATCCTTGGAGGTAGGTACAGACTTTCTAGATTGGAGCTGCAGGATTACTATAATTACCAGTTAGAGGCATCTAGAAATCACTCATGAGGGCCTAGATACATTTTAATTTCTGTTTATCTATAGAAAATTATTTTATACATTATATTCATCCTTTCAAACCATGTCTTCTATGTGTAGTCAGTATCATAAAACATTAAAAATTCACTAACTACAGACATTCAATGTAATCAAACTACTATTAAATGATTCATATTTTAAAACAGATGTCTGAAAAAGTGCCAACGATTTGGCACTGATCCAATGATCACTACAAAAAAATATATCTTAAGTTCAGTTTTGCATAGGTTTTTCTAATGTCTACTTTATGAGAAATTTTTACAGCTCATTGATTTTCAACAGTTAACCAGAAGTTTTCTGTTCATGTTTATAATCACTTCTTAATATTTTATATATTTTATCAACAACTACATAACCTAGAATAAACCGTACTAAAACAATTGGAATTTGATATTTATAGTTTCTTCTATTTTTTTTTCTTAATCACCACACAATTATACAATATGCCCTTGTGGGCCAGGGTATGTTCACATTGGTTTTCAGGAAAATCAGACACCATCCAAACTTTCACGGGAAAACACGGCATACAATGGACAGCTCAGAACCAATTAGACAATTTGGACTTCGTAGATGACCTATCTCTCCTATCGCATACACACGAACAAATGCAGATAAAGACAGCCAGTGTAGCAGAAGTCTCTGCATCAGTAGGCCTCAACATACACAGAGGGGAAAACCAAGATCTTTAAATACAACTCGAAAAACAGCGATGCAACCACTCTTGATGGCGAAACTCTGGAAGATGTAGAATCCCTCAAATACCTTAGAAGCATCATCGATATACAAGGAGGTTCAGATGCAGACGTAAAGTCGAGGATTTGCAAAGCAAGGGCCGTATTCCTACAATTAAAGAACATATGGAACTTAAAACAACACTCAACCAATATCAAAGTTACGATCTTCAACACCAACGTCAAGGCAGTTCTACTGTACAGAGCTGAAACTTGAAGAACTACATCAACCACCATCAAGAAGGTACAAGTATTTATCAATAGCTGTCTACGCAAAATACTCAACATCCACTGACCGGATACCATCAGAAACAGTCTTCTATGGGAGAATACAAACCAGCTTTCAGCTGAAGAGGAAATTAGGAAAAGACGATGGGAATGGATAGGACATACATTACGCAAATCATCAAACAGCATCACGAGGCAAGCCCCAACGTGTAATCCTGAAGGGAAGCGGAAAAGTGCAATGCCAAAGAACACATTACGTCGAGAAATAGAATCATATATGGAAAGGATGAATTACAACTGGAAAGAGTTGTAAAGGATTGCCCAGTACATGGTTGGATGGAGAATGCTGGTGAGCGGCCTATAATCCTTCACGAGGAGTAACAGGCATAGGTAAGTAAGTAATCCCCACAAAAAGTTGAAATATTTTTTTTCTATTTGTTTTTTATCAAGCCAATTATTTTTGTTCTATTTTGTTTACAAAAGAATATCTGTACTATGAAGGTTCATTTAATATTTAATTATTTTATTTTTCACTGGTTGAAATCATGAGTCAATTTTTCTTTTGAATTTTTCCCCCATTTATTTTATTTTAAACATTTCACCTATCAACCAATTCAATTATCAATGAATAATTTTCAAATTATATTCAATAATGTTTTTTTTATTTTTTATATCACTTTAATATAAACTATTTTAAATTTTCTAATCAAGTAAAACAACAATTATGTACATTTTATTTAACCGGAAGTAGTTCCATGTTCCGATTATTATTTTTATATCTAGTTTTGTTTATACGTTTATTCTTTATTCAGTCTAGAAAAATTTATCGACCACAGATTTACTTTATATAAATTTCATTTTTTTTTAAAAAAACATACGTAATCATCCTTAGTGAAGTTGTATTGTGTCTAGTAGTGGAATAGAGAACGTCGGTTTCATTCTATTTAGGATCCTGACATAGATAACCCCATAACTACTGAACAAACTAGTGGCTATCTGGATTAATTGGCTTAATATATAACTTAACGGGGTTTGAAATGATAGTTACTGTGTGAAAATCAAGACTGGAATACAAGTACACACTAGTAACGAGTCGTGTAGTAAGCCTATTCAATTACTGTATTGCTCATTAGTGACTGGCTTTAAGAGGTATTTCCTGGAGTTCTAGTGAGTTCAATCGAATCTGTTGTGAGATAGTAACTCACTGGAGACAATGGCGGATGTGTTGCTCAATTTCGTGGATTAGTTGAAGTTAGACATTAATACCTTTGGATACCGGCTCAGTGGTCCAGTGGTTAGGTGCTCGCGCGCGAGATTGATAGATTCTGGGTTCGAATCTTGAGAGGCGGGATTGTGGATACTCACCGATGAGGAGTCCAACAATAGGACGAAATGGCCTTCCAGTGCTTCCAGGTTTTGCATGGCGGTCTAGCTTCAATTGACTCATGATCTAAACTAATAAAATTACTATAATATCCACAAAAAACCCTTCTGATAATGTATTATTTGTCTGCTCATTGTAATTTAGGCATTTAATCTACTATGTAAGTTTATATGTGAGTCTGATTGATCGCATGTTTGCACATGAATCTTTGATCTATTCTCTCATTGGTTGTAACACACAAACAATCGATAATTTATCCACAACCAATTAACACTTATAAGTCTATATATATATATGGATTTTTAACACTCACATACATACACTCACTCGTTTCTCTATGTTATTGCTTTCTGCACGCTTGTGGATTTCACTGATCTTTAATAATAAACTATCTCTATAATTGGTGCTCAGGCTTTTAAATAATCTCGAGTAAATTCATAATACTACTAGGAGATTTAGCATGCGTTAAATACTCAGTTAACAGGATACTATTTATTGGAGTCAGATATAGAAGAATTCAGTATCTACAGTTTTAAATAGAACGAAACTCATATCCTGAATACCACTGTTGAGGATAATACAATTTTACCAAAACCTACAGGAAAATAGCAATATCTAAACGATCCACTCAAGATAAACGTATACGAACAGGTTATGACTAATTATTATCCCTAATACCAACAATTGGAAATTAAAATTCCTTATAGATACGTAACCATTTTTATTAACTTACAAATGGCATTGAAACACACCAGGATAATGCTCCACTAATTGCACCACCAATAAAAGCAGACCAGAATGTTGATAAACCAATATATTTTCCTATTTTTATTGATTCAGAATAAGCATAAAAATAAGCAGTCATTCCTGGAATATCACGAAATGCTTGAATAATTGTTCCTGAGTAAAATCCAGTAAATCCTTGCATACGTAAAATGGTATGAATACATTTTCGAGCAGTCAGTTGCTTTTCACCTGTTAAGAAATTAAACAAACTATATATATATATATATATATATATATATATATATATATATATATATATATATATATATATATATACTTACAAAGTTATTATTAACTAATTACTGATCAATTACTTAGTTCTTTCTCATTTATAGTGTAGTTATGCACACAAT